GGTGAGCAGGGGGGTACAGGTGAGCTGTGGGGTGCAGGTGAGCTGTGGGGTGCAGGTGAGGTGTGGGGTGCAGGTGAGCTGTGGGGTACAGGTGAGCAGGGAGGTGCGGGTGAGCTGTGGGGTGCGGGTGAGCAGGGAGGTGCAGGTGAGCTGTGGGGTGCGGGTGAGCTGTTGGGTGCGGGTGAGCAGGGAGGTGCAGGTGAGCAGGAAGGTGCAGGTGAGCTGTGGGGTGCGGGTGAGCAGGGAGGTGCAGGTGAGCAGGGAGGTGCAGGTGAGCTGTGGGGTGCGAGTGAGCAGGGGGGTGCAGGTGAGCAGGGAGGTGCAGGTGAGCTGTGGGGTGCGAGTGAGCAGGGGGGTGTAGGTGAGCAGGGAGGTGCAGGTGAGCTGTGGGGTGCAGGTGAGCTGTGGGGTGCAGGTGAGCAGGGAGGTGCAGGTGGGCCTAGAAAACTCTGGGAGGGAGCGGGGAGCGCAGAGCAATTCTGGGACCAGCTGCATTTCATGTTAATGGGAACCACAGTGAGACTGCCCAGCTTGGCGGGATGCTCCATTAGACAGCAGCTCAGCGTGGCCGCCTTTCAGGTCAGCGAGCACCTAGGCAAACATTTACCGAGCCCTGAGGAAGAGGTCAGTGTCCAGCAGACCTTGTGGAAGAGCAGCTAAGGAATCCGTCCTGATCTGCCGTGCTAGTAGATGACTTGGTTTTCTTCTTTAAGGAATACAAATCCCAAACCCCCTGCCTGGAGTCCCTGCCAAGCCATGTGCCCCTCCTCCGTGCATCTCTGTGGGGAGAGACTGCCCAGCTCTTCCCACAGCAGCTTCCAACTGCTGTGCTGTTCACAGCCTCAGGTGTAACACACTGTACCACTGGAGTTCCTTTTGAAAGAACAGTGCTTTTAAAAAATGTATTCCATTCCATGCTTAGTGGAATGCTAAGCAAGATTGATAACATCATATAAATGAGTCACTGAGGGGAAGAGACCTTAAGAAACCAGAAAGGACAACCTGTGGCCTTCTCTTCTGGCTTGTCATCCTCTCTGCTCCTCACATCTCCAGGCATCTCCTCTGGCCCCCATTTTTCCCCCCCAGGAAGGGCACAGATAGCAGTGCATTTGGATTGCAGAATGACCCATTTAAATAACACTGCTACTTAGAGAAGCTTAGGGTGTTATGTCCATTGCAATGTGAATAATAGTCTTGGGATTTTTTTCCCCCCTTGGTCACTGCTGGCATGTTAGGGGAAAGGGGCCTGAGGCTGTGATACTTCAGAGTCAGGGTGGGGTGAAGTGGGGTGAGGCAAAGCTCAAGCCCAAGACTCACCCAGAGTCTCAGCTGCCCCGTGTCGGCTGTCTCCCAGGTGGTGAACGTGTCCCGGCTGGAGGGTGATGACCATCCTGTACAGCTCATCTACTTTGTGGAGGGACGAGACGGAGAGAGACTCAGCGCTGTGAGGTCTTCAGACCTGATCAACAGGATTGACGTCCAGAGAGCGGCCATCATTCTGGGCTATCGGATCCAGGGCGCCATTGCCCAGCGTGAGTGCCCAAGGACTGCTTCCCGGGGGCTCTGTGCTGCAGCCACGTCCACACTGGGTCTTCCCGCCTGGGAGCTCTGAGTGGAGGGTGTCCTGATAAGTACATGGCAGGTTTCGTGCCTTTGACCTCGGCCATTCAGCCTCCTTTGTTGTGGGCTTCAGTTGTGGGTCCAGCCTTCAAAGCTGCCTTTCCACCCCGTATTTTATATTCACACACAGCCTCAGTCTTGTAGTTATTTATAGTGCTCCTGGGTGGGTCTGTAAAACAAATCTCTTCTTTGACTACTTTTTAAAAAAAATGTCATTTAAGTGAACTTTCACAGGGCAGTTTAAGTGAACGCTTACAGGGCTGTTTTGTTTAGCCTTCAGCCATCACACACCTTTTGTTTTGCATTGCTCACTGTCACCACGCTGTCCCAGTGCTCTCCCCACTCCCTCCCTGTGTTCCCCTTTTCCATCGGTCCTGTGCTACTCTTTTGGGAGGTTCAGGGTGGTGCAGGGAGCCCTCACGGCATAGTGTGTGCAATGTGTAGGGTTGCTTACTGAATGGGCAGCAATTCAAATCCACCAGTTGTTCTGCAGGGGAACGAGGAGGCAGGCAGTCTGCTAAGATTCAAAGTCTGGTAAACCTGATGGATGGTCACCATGAGTTGGAATCGACTCAATGACCGTGCGCTTGGGTGCTTCGGGGGTGGTGTAGATGGTGAGTCTGCTCACTGGGAGGGTATCGGTTCCAGTCATTCCTGCAGGGCCTCAGAACAAAGGCCTGCTGACCTCTTTTCAAAGACTCAGCCATTCCAAGTCTTGTGGGTCAATTTATACCCTGATACACATGAGGTTGCCAGGCGTTGGGGCCGACTCCACCAAGACGGTGAAAGAGACTGAGACTGTAAACAGCTTTAGTTTGTTTGGCTCTACAATCAACACTCTTGACACCAGCAGCCAGGAAAGCAAAAGATGAATTGCACTGGGAAAGTCTGTTGTCAGGGACCTCTCTGGAGTACTGAAGAGCAATGATGTCAGCCTAGAGACTAAGGTGTGCCTGATCCAGGCCACAGTCTTCATAATTGCTTGCTATGTGTCAGAAAGCTGGACAATGACTAGGAATAATAGAGAATTGATGCCTTTGAGCTGTGGTGTTGGAGAAGCATGGTACTGCTAGGAGAACAAACAGTTTCATCCTAGAGAGGGTGAACAGGCAGGCTGCTCCTTGGAGGCAAGGATTCTGAGGCTTCATCTAACATACTTTTGGCATATTGCATGGAGGGACCAGTCAGTCCTTGGAGAGGGACATCATGCTTGGAAGGGTAGAGGGACAGTGAAGGAGAGGAAGACCCTAGATGAGATGGATTGATTCAGTGACTGGGGTAGTGAGAGTAGGTGTGTCAGAGACAATAGGGATGGAACAGGACAAAGCAGGTTTCAGGGCTAGTGTACATAGAGTCACAAGTGACTCGACGGTATATAACAACAACAACAATCTACCTGGCTCTGGTGGCCTAGTGATTATAACCTGCACTGCAATCCCAAAGGCACACAGTTTGAATCTGCCAGGGGAGAAGGATGGACAGTCTCCTGTGCGGTTTACCGTCTCTCACAAACCTCTGGAGGGTCAGCAATGGGTCAATTCCGACTGACACAGTAACAACATTTCTCTACCCTTTCCTTATTTCTTCTCCGTTTAAAATGCGTTTTATGTAAAATGATGTGCCAGCTCTGTGTTCCTTCCAAAATCCTTCATGTCCTGTTTTGAGCATGGCTGGGTGGGGACAGTGAGTCACACGGGAGGCTGGGTGGTGCCTTGGGGGGCCTGGCTCCTCCGGGATCTCTGAACACAGAGACCTTGGTCCTCGCCTGGCCGCCCTGCCCCTGCCCTGGCCCGCACCGCTCCACGGCCCACACAGAGGTGTTCTGATGCTTTATTACAACTGTAAGGCCCTTGCCTCCTGTTCCCTTCTCATGTTTGCTCTCGCCCTGTGCAGTATTTAGAATCAAGAAACGGGGAAGCCAAAGAGAGGTCTTTCTCTAAATACACCTTTATGAGTCATACTGCTAACTTTAAAAATACGGAAAAATTCTTTTTGGAGGCAATATACCGCAACAAAGCCACCCATTCCTAGTTTGTGTGACAGGACAACAGCACTGACTCGCGTTGTGCCACCACACCTGTCACCTACCCTTCTGCTTCTTCACCATTTAGACCATTTGCCCCTTTAAGTTCTCCCCTGTGCTGTGGTGCCTGTTGACAGTCTAGACTGACAAAGATCATTTCTTACAGCAGACAGACCTTCTGTATAATTAGGCTTCGCTTGTTTAGTTCAGGCTAATCTTTTTTTTTTAATTTTTTTTTTTTTAAATTTTTGTGTGAGTGTACCGGCAAATCAGATCTGATTGGTACAGGAGGAGATTGTCCCTCCTTTTCCCGGCAGAGCATCTTGTGGATTCGAACCATGTACCTCTGGGATTGTAGTTGCAGCTCCTTGCCACTAGGCCACCAGAGCTCCCCTGAGGCTAAACTTTTTAAAGTGCCACTTAAGCCTCCATGTGTTAGTGTTGGTTCAGGGTTTAGAGGTCACTTCCGTTAGAGTAGGGGTTCCCCAGGCTCAGTCCATCCAGTCAGTTCTGTGCCCTCATCTTCCTCCTTTTGACCAGGGTCCACCTGGTGGGTGGTGGTTGTTATTAGGCGCTGTGAAGTCCAGACTCAGTTGACCCTCCAACTTGGATTGTAAATCACATGGGAGGAGACTGCCCATCATACTCTTGGGAAGTCATTAGTGGGTTTGAACTGCTCACCTTTGAGTTAACAGCACAACTCCTTAGCCACTAGGCCACCAGATCGCCTGCTATTTTAATCTAAATGGTGTTTTCTGTTGCGATCTGGAAAGCAATCCTCGTATGAGTGCGTGGGAACTTGTCCTCGAGAGAAGTCAGTGCTTATGAGGAATTCAGCCTCCAAGAATGCTGGGAAACTCTTTCTGCCGCACGCAGAGGAGAAATGGCAGATTTGACACATGACAGCTGTGAGGTGATGCTCAAGCAGGAGACCCTTGCAAGGTCTGTCCTTGTCCCTTAGAACTAGCCAGGATGAGAGCAAGTGGCCACCAGTCTTGATTACATGGATGGTTTTAAGCAAAGGATCTTTGATGGTTTGTTGTCCTTGTAGTTGAGAGATAATGACATGTTATTCTGATCTGAAGCACTTGAGAACAAAGGGCCAGAGTCTTATTACATTTCTATTTATATGGCTTTTCTGGTTGCGGGAGACACAGTGGCTGCAACGGCCGGCGTAGGCAGAGCAGAGGTTACGAGGAGGACGCAGGATCGGCGGGGTTTCCTTCTGCTGCACGCGGGCTGTGTCGGTCGGTGCTGGTGCAGTGGCATCTCAGTGCATCTGCTCTAGTGCCCCTCAGCCCGTTTCAGAGGCATAAATCTGGTCACACTGGTGCCAAGAGCCTTTGCTTGCATTTGCCACGGATCATGCGCGTCCAATGTCACAGCAGATGCTGGCATCGTGGGAGATGACAGGAGCACCTGGCAGATCCCGCCCATGGGGACACCGCGGCCCCTGAAGGGACGAGACCTAGAATCATGGCTGTTTTCAGGAGCAAAGACGTGGTGCATTAGAGATGGAAATGTATACTACTAGTAAGATGCATCTTGAAAGAGTAGTGACGTGTTGCTCACAAGACCAAGCCAAGTCTGAATGAATTAGAAGAGGGAGCGGGCAGCGAGTCAGGACCGGGGTCCACGGAGGGGCATTTTGGTTTAAGGGGCTGTGAGGTGGGGGCATGGGGTCCCTTGGGGGGGGTGAGTGGTCAAGATAAGGGGTCAGTGTGTGGTGATGGAGGCTGAGGGACTGTGGACTCAACGTGAGCAGATGTCCTTGTGAGGTAGTGGTAACTGGGAGACAGTCACCCTGAGCTAAAGTGACAGGTGTGGTCCTGGAAAGTGCTGGAGCCCTGGTGGTGGTTTGGTTAAGCACTTGGCTGATGGTGGAAGGAGAGTTTGACCCCCTCAGCCGCTCCATGGGATATAGATGTGCTGTCTGCTTCGAGAAAAGTGTGCAGCCTCAGAGGCCCTGTGGGCAGTTCTGTTCTGCCCTACGTGGTTTGTCACAAATTGGAATGGGCTCAGATTTTGATTTGAAGAAATGCAGTCAGGAAGCGAGCAGGTGGGAATCGGGGACGTCACGCTGAGCAGAATAGGTCAGACCCAGACGCCGTACAGCCAGCCCTATGAGGCTGTGCTATCCGGAGCAGACAGGTCTGGTGTGGAGCGGTTAGCAGATGCAGGTGGACGGGGAGTGGAGCCCTTGCTGCGGTGTCTCTGCTAAGATAAGAGAACAATTTGGGAACAGACATAATCGATGTCACGACATCTACATGTCCAAATGGTCAAGAGGCATGTGCTTTGTGCACGTGCATTTTAACCACAATTTAAAGATGTATTTAAATCACAATTTAAAGATGTATCACTATTCGACAGATGGAAGCAGAACATTTGCAGCTACAGAAGGAGAGGTCGCTTCCCTAAAAAGACAGCACTTAGCAGAGAGGCCGGGAGGAAAGGTGGCTGTCAGGGACTGGTGCAGGCAGGCACTGGGGCTGCTGTCTGCACTGGGGCGGCCGCCTGCACTGTGCTGCCGCCTGCATTGGGACTGATGCCTGCATTGCTGATGCCTGCATTGGGTGGCCGCCTGCACCGTGCTGACGCTTTCCCTGCCTGCAGCCGTGGACAGGGTGAAGAGGCCTTCCCCGGAGGCCCAGAGCAGCAACCTCTGGGTCATCGTGGGCGTGGTCATCCCGGTTCTCGTGGTCATGGTGATCGTAGTTATCCTCTACTGGAAGCTCTGCCGGACGGACAAGCTGGACTTCCAGCCGGACACCGTGGCCAACATTCAGCAGCGGCAGAAGGTGAGAGGTGGAAACCCCCAGAGTTCCCCTGCATGATCCTGTGGGGTCAGTTGGGGTGGGCGCAGGGCAGGGACCGGACAGGGGCAGGCATTAAGGAACTCTGGCTTTACCCAAGGTGTCCGTCTGCCTCCATGGCCACTTCCAGAAACCAGTTGTTCCCCAGCACTAAATTCATTCCAAGAACACAGGGCTGGATGAGGCTTTTATTATTTTCTGTTTGTCTTACCATGAAGGGTAGTGTTTCTTCTTATGAGAGATCTTGATTAAATGGCAAGCTTACAATCGGCAAGCCCATCAGAAGCACTTTCTGCTGCATGTCACAGAGGTTCACTTACTCTTTCTGTGGTCTGCTGAGGTGTTTTCTTCCCTGATGAGTGACATGAAAAGACAACCCGCTACACTCAGTGATTCATGGTGTGACTCTCACCGAGCTGAGGACAGTGGGTTTGGCAATGGTTTTGTTCTGGTGGAAGAATATTGTTTCAGGGAAGGTCCACCAAGCCCACAAGGTGGTACTTTGATCTTTGTATTTCCTAGCGTAAACATTCCTGGTGAAGTCCACCCACTATTTGTTATTTGAGCCAACTCTCAGAGGGCAACGTTCTTGGGTTCAGAAACAAGACACCCCTCAACAAAACAGGATCCCCCTTCCCTCACTCCTCCTTCCACTTCTGCTTCCGCAGTAGGTTTGAGTCTCCCACCAAAACCACCTGACGCTGTCTGATTCTGAGGCCTGGCAGTCCTGTGTGTTACTAGCCGAACTGTGCCCCAGGGAGTCTTCTGCCTTTTTTAAAGAAGCAGGTTGCCAGACCTTTCTTCCATGGTGCCACGGGGTGCGTTAGAACTGCAAACCTTTAGGTTCATGGCTGAGCACACACACACGTTCTTGGTGACCAAAACGGAAAGGTTTTAAGTGCAACTCCCAGACATTGGAGCTGCTGTGTTACTTTAGGTGCCAGGAGGGTTGTGTGGGTTGATATTAATGAAGTATTTATAGGAGGGGGCACTGGCTTGGGAGAGGCCCTGGCCAGGGACTGTCCCCCAAGACTCCTGGGAAGAACCACTGTTCCCCTTCCTGTTGCTGGCGCAGTAAACACAGAATCAATTCTGTCATGTGTTCCTAACAGGAAAAGGGAATGAATTTAAACGAAACGCCAGGCTCTCACTCTCCAGTGTCCCCTGAGGCTCTGTGGCTGTGGCCCTGCAGCCTGGTTCTGCCCACCTGTCACTGCAGAGATGGTGCTGACTTGTGGGAACCCTGAGGGACAGAGCGAAAGAGCCTAACCTGACTTCAAGGCTGTCATCTTTACAGATGTGGAGTGAGCGCCTCATCATACTCCCTCAGAGTGGCTGGTGGTTTGAACTGCTAACCTTCCAGTTAGCATCTATCAGTTACCAGCCATGCCTCCAGGGCTCCCTTCCCTGTTCCTGGTAGCGGTGGAAAAGCTGCTCTCTTGGCCTGAACTGAGAGCATGCCTTCTTCCTGGGCTCCCTCTGCTCGCCCACCTGTGACACCCCTCAGTACGGTTCTCCCCATCCTACCGCAAATCTAGAGCTGCAAACATTTGGAAGCAGTGACTCCCTGGCCCTAAACCCCACACCTCGCCTTCGGAGTGGATGGACGCTCTTCTCATTTTCCTGCCCGGTTTGGAGGCAGCGCACTGTCATTTCCAGTCACTTTGAGAGGATTGTGCACCCTTCTTCCTGCAGAGCCCAGACAGCACAGGGGTTAATGTGCTTGGTTACCAACCAGAGGGCTGGTGGTCCAAGCCCCCGGCTGCTCTTCAGAAGAAAGACGAAGCTGCCTACTTCCATGAAGGTGGTTTCCTTGGATACCCTGTGGGACCGTCTGTGCTGTCCTACGGAGGCGCATGTCTGTCCTGAGGGGTGCCTCTCTGTCCTACGGAGGCGCCTGTCTGTCCTGAGGGCTGCCTGTCTGTGTTGTTCTGCAGGGGCGCTGTGAGTTGGAATCACTCAAAGGTGATGGGTTTAGCTTTTTGGGTTTTGGTATCTTTCTCATGTGATCATTCTTAAGTCCAAAGCCACCATGTTACCTTGGGGAAAACTGCAGTCAGGCCCTTCATCCTGCCAGGACTCAGCGGGAGGTTGGGATGACCTGGGCTGGATGCTGCTGGCCCCATGGACATGTGTCCCTTCTCGTGGGGCCAGCTGGCACGGTGTTTGCCATGGGTTTTTGGTGAGGGTGTTTGCTGTGGATGTTTGTCAGGGGCTAAAGCTCCCGGTCACTGGCTCCCTCATGTGTTGACTGCCAAACAGCTCCAAGGCCCTGGACCTCAGTCCCCTGCACGATGGGCTGGCTCTGAGCTGGGCTTAGGCTGAAGGACCAGCACAGGTCATGTGCCCCTGGCTCCAGAGGGACAAAGATGGTACTCCAACTGTTCAAGTAGCAGATAGTAAGAGTACAGGTAGCAGAAGGCCTCGGAGTTCTGGTGCAAACAGTTACCATTTGTGAGGCTGATGATTCCCGTCCAAGAGGGGAAAAGGGCCTGAGGAGCCCCCACTGGATGTCCTGTGGAACAGTTCTACTCTGACATGTGGGCCATAAGTCGGTATAGACTCCATGGCAGCTGATTTCAGCGTGTTGAGGAAGCTGCAGGTTAATGGAGGAGGGGCAGCCAGCCCCTTTTTGGCAGCAGGAGAGGAGGAAGTGTCTAGGCTGAGCTCACAAGCTGCGGAAAGGTGCCGGGTGAAGCGGGCACAAGCATAGTGAGCGAAGGGACTTTAGGAAGTCGGCACTCACGGAACTGAGACAGCTGAGGTTAGGTAGGGCCAGATCCCAAAGGGCTGTGTCTTGGATTCCTGGAGGTGCTGGCTCAGAGGCTCACAGGAGGATGGCTCCGTGCAGTGGGCATTTATTTTCTCACGGTTCTGGAGTCTAGAAACCTGATTCAGGGAACTGGATCCTGGGAAAGGCTGGTTGTCACTCTGGGGGTGAAATCTCTGCTTCAGCCTGTGCAGCTCGGTGACCCTCGTTCCTTCGTGACCTTCATGTGACATCATCTTTGCCTGTTCTGTGCTTGTTCCCAACCTCCAGCTAGAACAGCCTTACCCTGCAGTGAGATCAGCCCTACTTCCCAGCTGGACCACGTCCACAGCTACCGAGTGGTGATTCCAAAACAGATTTCAGGGGACACAGTCCAAGCCCTGATCGCTTTTCTGGCCTCTGAGGGATTAGAATTCCTGGTGGAACTTGTGTGGGATACAGGCCTCTCTGGAAGATAAGACATGCCAGGGGCAGGGGCAGGCCCTCAGGAGAACCAGGGACATCTAACTTGTTGGAGGCTGCCTTCTGGAATTCGACACCCCAGAAAGGGTGCTCACGCCCCGGGGCTGGCTGCCCAGGTGAGGCCCTGGAGGGTGTGCTGGTCACAGATGCATCGCACAGTCTACTGAGGTGGACCTCTGAGGGCAGGCTTGGGTCTGTTTCTGGCAGGAGCCCAGGCAACCACACGACATGCCCAGACTGTCCGCGCGGTGAAGCTGCGTGCCCGGGAGACAGGACCTTTCATTAATGTAGGAAAAGCGGTCTGCCAGGCTCTGCCTTTTGTTTCCAAGCAGCGTCTGTCAACTGTGTTTGCAGTGAGCGCTGTTGCCCTCTGCTGGCACAGACAAGCCGGCATCAATCCGAGATCTTCTGGGGTAACAAGAGCTGGCTTTGTACCATGCTCCCCATCCCATTCCTGTGGAATTGGTTCTGACTCTTAGTGACCCCACAGGACAGAGAAGAGCTGCCCCTTGGGGTTTCTGAGGCTGGCATCATCTCAGAGCTGACAGCCTCATCCCCCTCAGAGCAGCTGGTGGGGTCCATCTGTTAACCTTTCAGTTAGCATCCAGGCGCTTGATGGCTGTGCCCCCTGGACTCCTGAAAGACTACGGATCTCAGGCGCTGTGCCCCACACACCCGTGCACAACATGGGCACCGGCGACCTCAGGCCCCAGAGTCAGTCGGCTGTTGCCGTGCCCCTGGGTCCTGCTTGAGCTTTATCTTCTAACAGTGTACAGTTGCGAACTAAAACGTTGGTGGTTTGAATCCACCATCTGTTCCTCAGGAAAGATACGGGAGAGCACAGGAAACAAGCGTCACTAGGATTTATAGACTTGGAAACCCCTTGGGGATTTCCCCTGCCCTGTGAGGTCACCACTGGCCAGCAGTGGGTTTGGGACTCTTGGTGTGGGAACCATTCCTTCTAGGGAGCATGGCTTCTGTGTGGGGTTTCTGCAAGGAGAACCCCTGGGGACAACTCTTCGTTTTCTGTTTATCATGCTGTGTAGTGTAAATGGTTGAGGCTCTTGGCTGCCAGCAGAAAGGTTGGTGGTTCAAGTCCACGCAGGGGCCCCTTAGGAGAAAGTCTTGGTGTTCCTTTTCCAAAAACCCAGCCAGTGAGGAGCCTATGGAAGCCGCCCTGCCCTGACCAGCCCGAGTGGTCGTGAGTTGGTCTCAGCACCTGTACTCTGTCCCGTCCTGAGACACAAGCCCTCTTGAGCTCCCCGGCCAGGCTGTGAGGAGCGGGTGGAGGGTCCTCGTGGAAGTGGACTGTTGGGGTCAGCAGCCCTTGCCCCCCGCTCAGATTTTGGAGTGACCGTCCCCTTGTGTCTGTGCTCCAGCTGCAGATCCCCAGCGTGAAGGGCTTTGACTTTGCCAAGCAGCACCTGGGCCAGCATAGCAAGGGCGACATTCTGATAATCCATGAGCCAGTGCCCCCGCCGGGCCCCATCAAGGAGCACACGCCGCCCTCCGAGAACGGAGACGTGCCCAGCCCCCAGGCCAAGGGCCCCTCCAAGGGCCTCCGCCACCGAGGAAGGTAAGACAGTATCCGGGTGGTCCTTGCCTGTCGGGTGCATTTCCCTTTCAGCTTGTCAGTGTCCAGCATCTGAAGGACCAAGGTGGGGGTGCTGCCCCAGTGCGTGGCCTCAGACCGATGGCTTTGCCCAAAGTAGTACTTGAAGCCACGAGTAGTTTTATCCTCTTTAAAGGGTCTTGGTGGTACAGTAGCTTACATGTCAGGCTGAGGACCAAAAGCTCGGCAGAAGAGCCCACTGGCCACTTCATGAGAAAAGGTGGACATGCTCCTCTGATTTTCAGCCTCAGAAACTTGGAGGCTCACCAGGGTCCTATCTACTAGATGCTTGGTTTGGTTTGGGTTTTTGAAGCCGTGCAGGCAGATTGCTTTTTAGAAATAAGCAAAGATGGGGAGAGTTCATCTCACGTATTTTGGAGTGTGTTATCAGGAGGGGCTGGTACCTTCAGAAGGACATCAGTGCTGGGGAAGGCATAAGGTCAGCGAAAGAGGAAGATCCTTAATAATACGATTGACTCAGTGCTCCAGTAGATGCTGGCCAGCAGAGACACAGCAGATTTCTCAACAACACACCTGCCCCTCAGGGCCACAAGCCGACAGACAAGGGGTGTCCCCAGAAGATGAACCCTTCAGGCTGGAAGGCTCTCAGAATGAAACAGGGGAGGCCCTGCCTTCTCAAACAGAGCTGACCTGATGATGTGGATGGAGTCAAATTCAGAACCATCATCTGAAAATTCTTTAGGGGAGCTCTGGTGGCCTAGTGGCAAGAAACTGAACTGCAATCCCAGAGGAACACGGTTCGAATCCACCAGACGCTCTGCCGGAGAAGGAGGCGCAATATCCTCCTGTACCAGTCAGATCTGATTTGACGGTACACGCACACAAAATAATAAAAAATAAAAAAAAAAAAATAGAACCATCATCTGCTGATGTGACTCAACTCAGAATGAGGAGAAACTGCTGTGAACATTCATAAATGATCTGAACATGGAATGCACGAAAGAGGAAGCTACAGCTGGTTGAGGGTAAAAGAAATGGAACACATAAAGATTGAACTCCAGGGCATTGGTCAGCTGAAATGGACTGCTATTGGCATGTGGTCCACTATGCCAAGCTGAGGGTGGCAAACTAAAGAAGAATTGTATCACATTCATCCTTAGAAAGATCCATCCCAAACTACAGTGCTGTTAGTGATAGGATACATTTTCATACAAGGAAGACCTGTTAACATGAATAGTATACAAATTTACATGCCAATTATTAATGCCAAATATGAAGAAAATGAGAATTTCTATTAACTTATACAATCTGAAATTGACCTTGCATCAGGATGCATTGATATTTATTGGTAATGAGAACTGGAAACAAGGTTTGGTAGCTGGAGAATAAGGCATTGGTGATAGAAACAATCCTGGAGACCAAGTAATAGAATTTTGCTAACCATGTGTTCAGTGCAAGTAGTTTTTTTCAATAACATAGATGATGACTATACGTAGTTGATGGAATACACAAGAATCAAATAAACTGTGTTTGTGGAAAGAGACAGTGGAATGTTCAAAATCATCCACCACTCGCTCATATTCAAATTCAAAGTCAAATTCAAGTGGAGGAAAAGTAAAACAAGTCAGCGAGACTCACGCTAAGATCTTGCGAATACGCCACCTGAATTTAGAGAAGAGATTTGATGCATTGTATACTGTGGACTGGAGACTAGGTGAGTTGTTGAATGACATCACAGATCTCATAGGTGGGGAAAAAGCTAAACGTTACTAAAAGTCGATGAAGAAAGAAAAGACAAGAATGGATATTTAAAGAGATTCTGAAACTTGCTTGCTCTTGAGCATAGAATCAGTAAAGCAAATGTAAGAAGTGAAAGAGCTGAACGGATTTCAAAGGGCGAGTCAAGAAGAGAAAGAAATTAAATGGGAAAGAGCTGGACTTAAAAAAATCAAAAGAACATACACAACATTTCTTAAGCTGAAAGAACGGAAAAACAGTTTTAAGACTCAAGTTGAAACATTGGAGAATGATAGCGCAAAGGATGTAGTGAGACATGACACATCAGAAAGGATGGAAAGAGCCTTTGTACCAAAAAGAGTTAGATAATGTGATTAATGTGGTGGTCAGTGGGGGAGTTTTTGGCTTTGTGTAACCTGGAGGAACTCTGGTGACATGCACAGTTATGTGGTCAGCTCCTAACAAAACGGATGGTAGTTCAGACCCACCCCGCGGTTCTGCGGGAGAGGACCTGGCCATCATTCTTCATGAAGGTCACAGCCTTGGAGGCCCTGTGGGGCTGATGCCTGGAGTCCCTATAAGAGGAGCTGAGCCTCCCGCCTTCTTCCTGTTTTCAGTCTTGGGAGTGGACATTGCAGTACAGTGGTGAGTGGACACTGCTCCCACACATCTGAGTGCAGCTTCCGTGAAGCTTGTGGGGTGACTGTACAACTCGTCTAAGGCCCAGTGGACTCTGCTCCAGGCCTGAACCCCCAGTTTTCTGAGCTCAGTGCAGAGTAGACCTAGACCCGTCTTGGACCAGGGCTGGGACCAGGCATGGCCCGCGAAGATGGAGGGCCGGCCTCCTCACGGGTGCCACCTCTTCCAGCATTCACAGCAGTGCGCCCTGGGGAGCCGCTTGGAGCAGGACTGAGCGTATTATGTCCTCGTCTGTTGAGCTGATGGGCCCCTGGAAGAAGCTAGCAGAGAAGTAACGGGGCATTTCATCTCCACCACGTCTGCCTGGGAGCTGGCCTCCACACCCACAGCCATGTTTTCTTTTTTGAGTGAAAAATTTGTTTTCTTTTTTTCATTCCTTCTCTCTCCTTCTGAAAACTTTCATTTTATTTCTCTTTTTATTTTAAATGATGGCAGAACAATGCACCTATCAACTTGGCAATTTTGACACGTACAGCTCAGGGACACTAGCTGGGTGTCCTCATTCTGCGGGGCTTTGCTTTTCAGCACTTCACGGAGCCTGTGTTTCTCACAAATTGAAGACAGCCCTCGTTGCTAGTCTGTTGGCATGATTTTCCCAGCTGCAAGTCCTCACCTGGTGTCTTTGTGCCACATTTTGGTCCTTCGCAGAGTATTGAAGGCATTTTCATCGTGTTATTACTGTCTTAGGGAGCTCTGGCAGCCTGGTGGTAAGAAGCTGTGCTGCCAGTCCAAAGACACACAGTTCAAATCCACCAGCAGCTCCACAAAAGGATGGGCAGTTCCCTCCCATGCAATTTACAGACTCTGAAAACCTGCTGGAGTTGGTTCTGACTCGATGGTACCCAACAACAACAGCGTTTTGTTACATACTTCATGGACTGCACCGGAGCGTACACATGACCTTTACACTCCCTGAGATACCAGACACACCGTGTGATGTGCCTCCGTGATACTTGTGTTCCTGTGGAGCCTGGAACTGAACTTGCAGATCTCCCAGGTCTGCCTGTAATGCTTCATGCTGTGGTGTGATTCTCACCGCCTTCTATCAAATCATTCATCCCAACACCGTGCACACAAGCTCATTGTCCCTAAGCCGTGCCTGTCCCACAGCCACGCGTTGTCACTGATTTCTGTGTGTTTGCTTTTTTCCTTTGAGGAGATGCCCTCTTAGATGGACTTGTCTCGCTTAGCGTGGTGGGTCCGAGCTGGGTGTGCATCACATTCGTCCTCTTTCCGGCTATGTGCTGTGCTGCTGTAGAAACACCCTACATTTTTTGACTGTTGACAGACCCTGGGTCGGCTCCACTTTGTGACTTCGTGGAGCGGGTGGAAGTCAGCTCGTGTGTCCAATGTCCTCCGGCCACAGTGAAAGCGACACACAGACCTGTCTCTCTTCTTCATATGTCACATGTTTTGTGTCCTCAGGGTCTCTCCCTCGGACGCAGACTCCACCGTCAGTGACGAGTCCAGTGAGAGGGAAGTAGGTGACAAGGCCCCTGGAATGGTCAATGACAGCAGGGCCTCCCGAGGCCCGCAAAACGGTCAGTATCCCCTCCTCCTCGTTGAACCTTGTGATGCTGCAGTTCCTATAGGCTGGGGTTTAATCATTGTGTACTAAACCTTTCCTAAAAGGCCTGTGCTCTGGGATGCTATTTGGTGAGAACATCTCAGCACCCATGGCTGCAGCTGAGCCTTGATCAGGGTCTGTGTTGGGGTGGGGCCTGTGCTAGATGTTGGGGTCCACTGAGGGTAAATGGAGCAGCAGTGAACAACCAGGCTTCACTCTAGCTGAGAGTCACAGTGACTTCTTCTTGGAAGGACAAGGAGGAGTTTAACTGAAACAAATCTTAGGGTTCAGTGAGTACATTCTGGGATCCCACTGCAGTCTTCCCGGTTGTAACTGACGTAGTTGTGTTGTTGTTTTGAGAGGCAGTAAATTGCACAAGAGAAGATTGCCCATCTTTCCTCTCTGGAACAGGTAGGTGATAGATTCGAGCTGGGTACCTTTGGGATGGCAGTGCATTCCTTACCAGTCAGCCCCAGAGCTTCCTGACACACTGTGGTTGTCTTTCCTCACAGACCATTGTGTCTGGGTTCCCTCCCAGCCCATCTTCCAGAAGGTCCTCTGGCTGTTCTGGGGCATCACGCCCTCTTGTCTGCAGCTGAGGCTACAGCTCCGTGCTGCACGGTGCTGGTTGGCACACCACCTTCACGTCGGGGCCAACGCTGGTTGCCCCGGCTGAGCCAAAGGAGGACTGTACTCGGGAGGGCTTGCTTTTTTAAAAAAAACAAAACAACAAACCAAACCCACTAACATTTTACTATGGTGTTTTTGGAAGTGTTACAGAAAAACAGGTTCCTATTCCACAGTTCCCACACACGTTATTTGATGACACTGGTTCTATTCCTTGCTTCATGTCAATGTTCCCATTATTCTTTTAGTTGTTTTGTTCCCATGGACCAAGCCTCACAGCCCTGTGACCTACTCTGTCTTTGATTATCTGATGGCCATTTGGTCTCAAGCAGATGCTTTTTTTAAAAAAAAAAATTTTACATTTTTTAAATTTATTATTAATTTCGATGAAAATTTACAGAGACTTTGGATTTCCATTCGTTCATTGTTGCACTTTTCTCCCCTCCCAACCCTCCCCACCGAGTACACTATCCTCTTTGAAAAGTAAAAGAAAAGTTCTTTCATTGTTTTACAATCCCTCCTCCACTGTACAGCCTTCGCTCTGGACTCCAAGCAGATGCTTTTTTTAAAAAAAATTTTTTATTTTATTTTTATTATTTTGTGTGTGTGTACCATCAAATCGGAGGAGATTGTTCCTCCTTCTCCAGCAAAGCATCTGGTGGATTTGAACCGTACACCTCTGGGAGTGCAGTGTAGCTTCTTGCCACTAGGCCACCAGAGCTCGCAAACAGATGCTTTTTTAAAAAGAGGGTCCTCTTAACTCTGAGGTGATTTTCTTAGCTGAAAGGTGACTTGAGGGAAGAGTCAATTCAGGGCTTAAACATGTCTCAGGGCCGTAGCCTCTGGAATTCCTCTTGTCTTGGTGGTCCCGTAAGTCTGGAACTTTAAAAAATTTGAAGTTCTTTTCCACATTATTCCCCCCTTTCTATCTTGATATCATCTATTGTGATCAATCAGTATTCACAGTAGTGGAAGCCAGGTACCATCTAGTTATTCTGATCTCAGGGTCGAGAAGGTCTTGGTTCATGTTGACAGTTAGTCCTATAACTGCTTCCTTTTCCAAGTGTTGAGTTTTCTTCTTTCTCTTTGGCTCCAGACAAGCAGAGAACAATAGTGTGTCTCAGATGACTGCTTGCAAGCTTTTAAGACCCCTAGATGCTGTGAACCTGACTCGGATGCAAAACATAAACTTTAGGAACTCTGTTACAGCGACTGACCAGGTTTTCCACTCTGTAGAGTTCAAGACTGATTTTTCAGAATAGCCCTCTGGTGGCCCCGTGGTAAAGAGTTGCACTGCCAACCCAAAAGCATGTGGTTTGAGTTCACTTGCTGCTCCAGAGAGGAAAGATGTGGGGGGTGGGGACAGTAATTTCCCATGAGAGTTACAGCCTCTGAAAACCCACCAGAGGCTCAGCTATAAGTTGGTTTTGACTCCATGGCACACAGCACCCCCACCAATTTCTGGTTACCAAGTAGGTAACCAGGCCTGACTTTACAGGAGCCTCTGGGTGGAATTGTACCAGTCCTTTTCTTCTGATTTATTTCGTGCCATACAATGTTTTCAAGGATCCTGCATATCATAGCATATGTAAGACAGTTACTTCCCATGGCGACTGAAGGATATTCTGTTGTGTGGACAGATGTTTTGTTTACCTGTTCATCTGTTGGTGGACACTTGGACTAATGTGTTCAGTGCTGCATTCAACAGTGTACCTGTTTGGCCACGTCCTCCTCTGACCGTTATTTCCTGATAATAGCCATCCTGTCGTTGTTGTTAGATGTTGCTGGGTTGGCTCTGACTCACAGCACCCCGATGCACCACAGAAACACTGCCCAGCCCCGCACCACCGTCACAGTGCGGCCACACCTGCGCCCGTTGCCGCAGTCATTGTTAAGCCAGTTCATCACATTGTGAGTTTTCCTCTCTTTTGCCGACATTCTGCCTTTACCAAGCAGATGCCTCTCTCCAGGCACTGACCCCTGCTGGTATCCAAAGTACGTGAGACAGAATTGCCTCATCTTCTCTCCTGAGGAGCACTCTGGCTGCACTTTCTCCAAGACGGATTTGTTCATTCTTTTGGCCAGTCCATGGGATAGTCAATGCTCTTCACCAACACAACTCAAAGGCGTCAATTCTTCCTTCCACTGTCCAACTTTACATTCACATGACGCAATTGAAAAGACCATGGCTTGGCCAGGCACCCTTTAGTCTTTTTTTTTTTAAATGTTTTTATTTTTTATTATTTTTTTGTATGTGTGTATTATTAAATCATATCTGAGTGGTACAGGAGGAGATTGCCCCTCCTTCTCCAGCAGAGCATCTGGTGTATTTGAACCATGTCCCTCTAGGATTGCAGTGCAGCTTCTTGCCATTAGGCCACCAGAGCTCCCTGCACCCTTTAGTCTTGATGCTGACATCCTTGCTCTTCGGTGCTTTAAGGAGGCCCTTGGAAGCAGATTTGCCCAATGCAATGTCCTTTGTTTTCTTGGCCACTGCGTCCATGGGTGTTAATTTTGGATCCAAAGAAAATCAAGTACTTGGTAACTTACATAACGTAATGACTTAGCATCTTTTCATGTGCTTACTGGCCACATAAATCTATCTTCTCTGGTGAGATGTCTGTTTGAAGCCTTTGTCTGTTGTGTGACTGGGTTGTTTGTGTCTTTGTTGTTGAGCTGTAGAAGTTCTTGATAGAGTCTAGATTGTAAACCCTTATCAGATATGTGGTTCCCAAATAGTTTTTACCAAGATATTTTTAGTGGCATTTTTTTTAAATTTTTTTTTTTATTTTATTATTTTTGTGCGAGTGTACCGTCAAATTAGATCTGACTGGCACAGGAGGAGATTGTCCCTCCTTCCCCGGCAGAGTATCTGGTGGATTCGAACTGTATGCCTCTGGGATTGTTGTTGCAGCTTCTTGCCACTAGGCCACCAGAGCTCCCCTAATGGCATTTTTTATACTAACTTTCTTTTCACCACAAGTATCATTCTATGAAAATAACCATGCAGAAGGAGCCACAGTCTCTTAACTGAACGAAGGTGAGGTGGAAGCTGGGAGCCTGCACTATTGCTGTGAGGCTGGGGTCCAGAAAACCACCTCGTCTGGGGGCCGGTGGGGCACAGCATCCCATCTCTGAACCTCTGTCCAGCTTTCTCAGCTGGTTCCTTTATGTTCCTAAGCTCCTGGCAAGAAGAGAATGGTTTGTTCTTTGGATCGTGTTTCACTGAATCTTAAAAATTACTTAGCTCCATGGTAACAGGCGTACCGTTACAGATAGACAAGTTTAAAATCTAAATCAGACCCTGGGAAAGAAATATTTTTATTTGGGAAAAGAATTAGCTCTAGATTTCCACACTCTCTGTCCGTTGCTTATCTGAGAAAGCCTTGCTTTTGCTCTATGCTGACAACATCACAGCTGATATCATTTACATCGCTGCCCAAATCCAGTATCACATACTCACATCCGAGCAGTAGCTCCTCCAGGCGTGGGACCAAACGCTGGCCGAGGCAGGAGGGAGGTGGACTGGATATTTCCTGGAGTAAAAGAGCTCCAAGTGAAAACACACCCCACCTGGTGCCGCAGCAGTGCTGACTCAGTGACCCTGGGGGACAGAGTGGACCTGCCTCACGCCATCAGTGTTCATCTCATTCCCATCCCGCGCTTTGTGAAAAGTTTGTGAGGTGCACGGCAAGGGTGGGAACACCCAGCTTGTCCTCGGCTGTGCAGAACAGGCCAGCAGAAGAGCAGCCTCTCCGGCCGCCCATTTGGGAATCAGGGAGGAGGTGGAGAGAGTGCTGTTACTCTGTGGGTATTGTAATTAATGTCAGAAAACAAAACGTTCTTGAATGGTTCAGTGAAGATGGATTTTCAGGGAGCTCTGGTGGCCTAGTGGCAAAAAGCTGCACGGCAATCCCAGAGGTACGTGGTTCAAATCCACCAGATGCTGTTCTGGAGAAGGAGAGGCAATCTCCTCCTGTACCAGTCAGATCTGATTTGATGGTACACACACAAAAAATAATAAAGTTTTAAAATAGAATGTAAAAAAAAAAAGAAACTAGATTTGCTTTTAAACTTTTAAAACTTTCACTCTAATAAAAATCGTAAAGAAAACCCCTCGAAGTCTGTGAAGCACCATCCTCCTCAGACACACGTGTTGCCAGATGTGCTGTTGGGTTGAGTTGGCAAAATTCTGCCCAGTTCTGCCTCCTCCTCACAGGCTGCTGGATTTGACCTGCAGCCATTAGTCAGCCCATGTCCTCTAGGGTCTCCCTCTTTCTCACTGACCTTTAACCTTACCAAGCATGGTGTCCTTCTCCAGGGGCCAGTCCCTCCTGATAACACATCCAGAGAACAGGAGACGGGTCTTTCCATTTTTGTGTGTCAGGAGCTCTCTGGCCGCACTTCTTAGCACAGCTCTCCTCTCGCACACTCAGAGTCCGTTCTGTTTGTTTTTCTCAGTGAGTCTTCAGTGCTTGGGTCTGGAGTGGGGTCCTTAAGAATTAGCCTCTCCTATATGGTGCCACTGTTGTAGAACGAGGCTGACAATTGGGATGGGGGTAAGACTGAGAAAAACTGGATGAAATACGTTTACGGCATTGAAGTCTTTGGGGAAGAGAATATTTTATATTTTAGGGCATTATGTTTATCGTAAGAGTACGGAATGAGGGTTGCAGAGTGGATTATATTTGGGGGTTGGGGGATGTGTGTGGGGGATTGCGTACCAATGAGGGTGTTTTTTCTTTTGCGTTTGAAGGAGAGGAGCAAATGGGGGGGGGCAGGGAGAGGGGTGCAACAATGAATGAATGGAATTCCAAAATCTCTGTAGATGTTCATTGAAATGAAAAATAAAGAAATTTTTTTTTTAAAAAGAATTCGCCTCTCATTCTGATGACTGGCTGTTTCTGTGGGGTGACTTGCTGTCTGCTTCTCCCTGCCAGGGCCACCCCCCGCCGCCTCAGGTCCAGAGCAGCACTCCTCGGCCTCCATCTTCGAGCACGTGGACAGGGTCTCCCAGTCGGCTGAGGCCAATCGCCGGGTCCCCAGCAAGGTCCAGCTGATTGCCATGCAGCCTATCCCAGCACCCCCCATCCAGCTGCCCACACTGGGTGACCGAGTGGCCGAAACCAACAAAATTAACAAGGAGGTTTGTGTCCTCGTGAAAGCATGTGGGCCCGGGTGCCCTGGGATCTGAGCGCTCAGGGCTTAAGTACAAGTGGATGATTCAGGTCAGGGATCCTGACCCCAAGTGGTGGACAGACATTCTTGAAGACTGCCTCAAGAGCTCAGACCCCTGCTGGCCGAGGTGGAGGTGGCCTTGGCCAGGGGCTGCCTGTTAGTGAGGGTCTGCTCACCAGGCTGGCCCGCTGGCTCCTGGGAGCCTCTGCTCCAGGAGGGGTCTCCTCACCCTGAGATTACCTAACAACAGCTTACTTAAATGGTTAGCTGGAACCCCCTGGTGGTGCCTCAGGAGACTGGCCGGGCAGACGGTTTCCTAGAGGTCAACAGCCTAGAATGCAGCCGTTCTCCCGTGCACATGTGGGGGTCATGATTCAGCACAGAGAGAGAGCTCTGAGATCAAGACCAGACCCCAGTAAAAGCTCGTTTTAAAGGCTTGAAGGGTCCCTGCCTTAAGAGAAGGTAAGGGGGCCTCTCCCTAGGATGCCCTAGGACAGTGGGGGAATAAAGCCAGGGGCTGGAGTTCCTTCTCTCCAGAGCAGAGCCTCAGGCAATTGCTCGGAGGCGAATGCGCTCCTGGCACAAACCGGAAGGGGTGCGAGGGGGTGTAAGGGGCTGTGAGGGGGTGCGAGGCGTTTCCCCGTGGGGGGATCATCCCCCTTCATCCTCCTTCACCGTCACCTCTGCAGATTCAGACCGCGCTGCGGCACAAGTCTGAGATCGAGCACCATCGGAACAAGATCCGTCTCCGCGCCAAGCGCCGCGGCCACTACGAGTTCCCAGTGGTGGACGACCTGTCCTCGGGGGACACCCGGGAGCGCCACCGCGTGTACCGCCGCGCGCAGATGCAGATCGACAAGATCCTGGACCCCACGGCCAGCGTACCTTCCGTGTTCATCGAGCCCCGGAAGAGGTGAGGCCGTGGCCAGGGCGGGGTGGACGGGGCGGCTCTGTGGTGTCCCAGGTGACCACTCGAGGGGTCCTTAGAGGGCGCAGCCACCCTGGAGTGGTTGCTGGGCGCAGCTGAGATGCTTGTGGTGATCCTCCATCGAGCAGAGCGGACACAGAGGACACTTACACAGCCCTGGGCCCTCCCACAACCTCCTCTGAGCAGCCACGGGCCAGTCCATGGACACTCCTCTTCCCTGCTGATGTGCCACCTTTCCAAGCTTGGAATTCTTTACCAGAGTCAGACTCCTCGCCCTCTGAAAAAATCTGCTTGAGACATTTATTGATCGGAGGCTGCGAGGCCTCAGTGCCTTGGCGTCTGTATCTTTGTGTGGAGCAGAGGTCCCATCCGGCTCCCTCTCCAGCCTCGTCCCAGGATGGTTCTTCTGGATGTAATTTTTCCTCAGGCTGGGCGTGACTGAAAGTGGGCGTCTGTTCCTTGTCCAGTTAGCTCTTCCCGGGGCGCCTGGCCCCCCTCTCCTGTCATTACCTGGTGCGGTGGTGCTTCAGTGATAGGGTTTGCCTCACAGCTCAGCTCTGACTGGAAGCTTACCTGTTGTGAGGGTGAACAGGTTTCAGGGGAGCGTTCAGACTCAGAAAGACTAGAAAGAAAGACCTGGCAACCTGTATTTGAAAATCAGCCAATGAAAATGTTATGAGATACAACTCGATCGCTCCACAGCCAAGGACAGGATGGTACAGTGCCAGGCAGTGTGTTTCAGTCCATTCTACACAGGGTTGCCAGAAAATACCATCACCCCAGCAGGTGCCTCGATGACCCCATCTTCTCCATCCCTACCAGTCACTCTGCGTCCAGGGTCTTACCTTCCGTACTGTCTCCAGATGACAGCCTCCACCATGTCCTGAATTCTCCCACCTTGTCTTCCTTCACACCTCCACCACGGGCCCATAACTCCCCACACCTCCACCTTAGGCCGTGTTCTCCCACCATGTCCACCTTCACACCTCCACCACCTCCACCACAGTGCTATAACTCCCACCCTGTCCTTCACACCTCCACCATGGGACCATAACTCCCACCCTGTCCTTCACACCTCCACCACGGGCCCTATTCTTCCACTCCGTTCTCCTTGACACCTTGACCATGGCCCAGTAGTCTCCCTTCTGTCCTTTTTCACACCTCCTTGCCTCTCCACCGTGGTCCGTGTTCTTCAGCCTCCCACCAGAGGCTCACATTGTTTCCTTACGCCCCTCCCTCACACCTTTCTCTCCTCAAATCTTGTGCTGGTTCCACTGAACGTTGGCCCCTGCAAAACCATGTGGGTCCCTGCCTTTCCCCTCAGCTGACCTCCACCCACCAGGATGCAGAGAGCCCCTCCCCCCCGTCCCCATGCAGGTCCCAGCTGTGTCCCAGCCTGGCCAGCAGCACCAGGGGCTGCCCTTGTGTCCTCTTCCGATGGCCCCTCCCCCATGCCTGAAGACCCTCCCCACCCTGAGGACCCGGCCCAGGTCCTATGGTCAGTGTGCTGGCTCTGCCCCACTGGAGGGGCATGCAGGGACCATGTGGCCGTGTTGGTCTCCTGCTTGCACTTGTGCATGTCTGGGTGGGACACAGCATCGTGCACCATCCTTGGAAGGCACTGAGCATTTGGTGGGCGAGGCATTCAGGCTTTCGTGGTGACGATGTGGTGACCATGAGGCTCTTTGCATGCAGCTCACGCATCAAGCGCTCTCCCAAGCCACGCAGGAAGCACCAGGTCAACGGCTGCCCCGCGGACGCCGAGAAGGACCGGCTCATCACCACGGACAGTGATGGTACCTACAAGCGGCCGCCTGGCGTGCACAACTCGGCCTACCTCGGCTGCCCGGTGCGTCCGCCCACTGCCCTGCGTGCGTCACAGGGTGACAGGGAACAGGCGGGTAACAAGGCCACTACCCCCGATGCCCCCAGGGCTGGCTGGGGCTGCTCCTGGGGGGCTTCCGTCATGGAAGGTGGGGCTTCTGGAAATGTAGACCAGGTTTTCCCCTCCATTCAAGCCCTACTCTCTAGCTTTACAATGGAAACTTCTTGACAATTAATAGAAAGAGAGAAGCTTCCAGAAGCTCCCTTGACTAACTTTCCCATCTCCCACCTCCCTTGCTCCCTGTGCTCCATTTGACCTTCCTCACAGCGTGTCCAGCATTTCCCTCATGCTGTTGTACACGTCACAGACCACAGTCACTGTCAACATAACGTTTATCTGCTCCTGGAACCCAGAGTGTCTGCGAATCTCACCTTGTCTTCACACTCACTTAGTGATGTGGAATTCATCTTATGATTTCCAACATGTGTCTCAATTGTATTTGCTAATAGACATTTCCCCGCCTTTTTTATGGGAAAAGGAGCTTAATGAGAATTAAGAAATAAGGACTAAAACATTTGTCGTGCTGAAAGGGCCAGAGTTACTTGACATGTTTGAGGCAGAATTGTCAGTATTAAGAACCCTCCACACCCAGGAGACCCACCCTGGTCCCATTGTGTAGAATGAACACAAGTCCAGGGGAGCTCTGGTGGCCTAGTGGAAAGGAGCTGCAACTACAATCCCAGAGGCTCACGGTTCGAATCCACTAGATGCTCTGCCTGGGAAGGAGGGACAATCTCCTCCTGTACCAGTCAGATCTGATTTGACGGTACACACGGGCGCGCGCGCACACACACACACACACACACACACACACACACACAATGTGTCAGGCTTTGTCTCTGACTGTTTAAAAAAAAAAAAAGAATGAACACAAGTCCCACGCACGGGTGTGAGGAGTGTGGTGTTGTGTACCACAGTCGGAACTGACCCACAGCTGACCCTCTAGCGGGTTTTCAGAGGCAGTTAATTGCATGTGAGGAGATTGCTCATCCTTCCCTTGTGGAACAACTGGTGGATTTGAACTGTGTGCCTTTGGGATTGCAGTGCAGCTTCTTGCCAGAGCTCATGCGAAGTGCTGTTGTTGTTGAGAAGCGTAGATGGCCCTTATGGAAGAGGGGGCCCAGAGGCAGCCAGGTCTGGAACTGTGCTCACGAGTGGTCTCCAGAAGCCCTCTGGGTGAGGTGGGCAGCAGTCCTGTTGTCCTGCACTGTCTCCTATGGGCAACCCCCCTGGAGATCTCCATTCAGGGAGAAGGGGTTTGACAGTAAACACCCTTGACAGAGGACTTGGATTGATCATGACAACTTGTTAAAAAGCCAGAACCAAACCCGTCTCTGCTGAGTTAATGCTGATGACCCTCCCCTGGGCTTCCCAGGCTGTAAATATTTACAGGAGGAAATGGCTCATTTTTACCTACAGAGCCGCTGTTGGATTTGAACCACTGACATTTCAGTTAGCAGCTCCCTCCCTGCACCACAGTGCTCCCGTGAGGCGGGTAGGTGCTCCTCCTCTGGCCATTTCTTCCCTAAATGACACTGAAGGCGGAGCATCTGGATACCCGAAACCTACCCCACTGTGGTCGCTGAAAGAACCAGGCCTTTCCTCGAGCTGCCAGTCTCCTGGACTTGAGTGTCCGCAAGCCTGACCGTGACCTCATGAGCGGTGGGAGAGGCCTCGTGTGAATCTGGAGTGTCCTTGAACTAGACTCTTGGGCTGACGGATTTTAGAGTTGTCTTTGCTCTTCAGGTGGAAGTGTCTCTGGCCGTCCTCCAGGTGGTGCTGTGGTGCAGCTGAGCGTGGGGTCTGTGCTCTGTGGGCGCCTGTCCCCAGGACAGCGGTCTCCTTCTGTCCCTGTCTCACTGTTGGACCTCCATGCCCTGTGGTAGAAGTGGAGGGATTCTCCTTCTCCCCTCGGCCCCGAGCCAGCTCTGGCTCAGCCTGTGACGGTCCCCTGTGGGAGAGCTGGTCTAATGGCCCGATTCTACCACCCTGCAAGGCCCCTGTGGTGTAGTGATTAAGTGCTTGGCTGCTAAGTGAGATGTCAGCACTTCAATCCCATTTCTCTGTGGGAAAAAGAGGTAGAGGTTTGTGTCTGTAAAAACGACAGATTTGGAAACCCCAGTTCTGTTGTGAGGGTAGTGGGCCTGGTGTTTTGGGTTATTGAGACTTCATTTCTCCTGTTGGCTGAGGAATATCTCATTGAACATCTTTTTATAAGATTCACCTCAAGTGCCGGCTGCTAGAATTTTATTTAGAACCAATCCCATTTTAAAATGTCATATTCGATGTGCAGAGGAAGCGGGGATTAATCATCAGGTTGTACAGTTAGATGGGTGGGGGTGGGAAAGAAATGGAAAGAATTTGTTCTTGAAAACAATGTATTTGAATTTTGTAAATAAACTAGTAGAAAATTTTAAAAAAATCATACTCAAAGAGGAAGGCTAACTCAGACACAAATAAGCAATACTTTCTCCAGGTCCAGATAAAATGGGATTTGATCAGTAGACTTCAGATCTACCAGAGGGGACTGCACCCCTGTCTTCCCCCTTTGTTCCTGAAGAAACCCAGGGACCAGAGGGGAGTGTGTGTGCCTGTGTCCACCTCATAAATGTCATGGGGCCTTCTGATGTCACAGTGTAAGCCCCTGACCCCCGGGGGCCCAGATTCTTGTTAAAAGGGCAGGCAGGAGAGGAGAGGAGGTCTGGTCTATGGACCTTCTGGTGTAAATCCTTTATCCCTGGGGGTCCAGATTCTTTTTTTTTTTTTTTAATATGCAGAAAATAGAACTTTACTTACAGAAAATGAAAAGAACTTGAAGCACTTATGGATGATACTTAAAAACTACAGTCTTAAAGATTATCCCTCAATTTACAGAAAATAAGATTGCTCACAATGTGCCGATTTTACATATGATGAAAGAAAGGACAGAGAACTTAAACATTTTTTTACTGCACAAAGTGAAAAAGAGCAAATAGAAGTAGAATCTAATATAGCTATTCTTTTTACCTTTTGGGAGAAGTTACATTTCTAGAGGTGATTAGACAGGGAGAGAATATTGAGGAGAGGAAAGTCCTGATTCTTAAGTGCTCTTTATCAAGTTAGTGATCCCAAATCAAGATGAATGTATGCAATAGGATGTACATAAGTTATTTTTGTCCATGCCTAGACTAGTGCTGTATAATGGTGTTTCGGTTTTGTTTCTTGCTTTTGTTTTGTGACTTAAAATAATCTCATTTAATACCTTGGGGGTAAAAAAGAAGTAGAATCTATAACTAGACACTCTAAAACTTAAATTCACAGTCTTTTCTTCTTGAAAGCTGCAGGCAGGAGAGGAGGCCTGGTCTGTAGGCCTTCTGATGTCACGGTATAAACTCCAGACCCCCGGAGGCCCAGATTCTTGTTGAAAGTCCCAGGTAGGAGGAGGTCTGGTCTGTGGACCTTCTAAATTTGCAGTAGCAGCAGCCACCTTAAGTGGTTTTACCCTGTAAAACCTTTCCTGGGGTCCTGCAGGCTTAAAGAGACCCCCATGTGGATGTGCACTGGAGGGAAGCCAGGAAGGGCTGCTGTGAGTGGGGGTGCCCTGCTCCGTGGGCCCCACATGCCAGGGTGAGGGCCAGGCCAGGCTCTGTCCAGAGGACAGGGGTCTCCTGAGGTTTTCGGGTTCCCTGATGGTAATGCTTGTCAGGCCCAGCAGAAGAGGTGCGGTGCTGCGTGTGGGTCTGTGGGCATGTGGTGAGGTTCCCTCTGTCGGAAATCCAGGGCCCACTGCTCGATGCATGTGATTAATGATCGCCCCCCAGCTGGCTGGCTGTCATCATGGGACATCTTCCAGATGTGGCCAGGCTTAGGTCGTGTCTGTGGAATGGAGTTCCTGTAGGAGGTGGATAGAAAACAAAAAGTCTGCCTTCCTTTTCCCCTGTGTAGCATGAACTGCAGGCCAGCGGGGCCCATGAACTGTTCTAGAAAAAGGAGTCACCCTTCCTCCCCTTGGACGCTGGTCACCCTTTCCTGCAGAACCTCCGTCCTTTGTAGGGTTACAGGTGACAGTGACAGCAGGCTTCTGGGGCCACTGAGAGGACCCTTCGTGCCGGCAGTCCCTGACAATAATGACCAGTGTCTATTACAGCAGTCATTATTATTTTACTGAGCCGTGAGTGAGAGTTCACAGAACAATTTTTTTCTGTTCAGTCATTAATAATTATATATTTTACTGTGCCGTGAGTGAAAGTTCACAGGACAGTTTTTTTCTGTCCAATCATTCATACAGACTTTGCCTGACTATGTGAATTCTAAGGGAGTTCAAGAGTGGCAATGATAGTGAACATTTTTCAGAGTCACCTGAATATGTGGCAAAGAAGGCTCTTTTCCTCAAAGTCTTTTCAGATTGCAACGGAACTTTTTTCTTAATGTATATGTAAGGCAGTTTTCTAGGAATGCCACAAATTGTGTGCCTCTGGTCATGTCCATTTGCTCTACAGAGGTAACGCGTGGTTCTGTGATGCTAAACACTGTGACACTGATGTGTCAGATGTGATAATGGTCACCCATGGCTGACAATGTTTGGTGGCGCTCCCCGATTAAACAAGCTTGGAAGCAGGAGTGGCATCCACTTCTAAGTAGCTTGCCTCCAGAAACCCTGTGAACCTGGAGAAAGGATGAAAGTTACATAAGTGTCCAGGTCTTTCATTCATAGGGTCGCTATGAGTCATCTGCGATGCGACGGCACTTAGCAACGATGACGACGATGTGAATTACATACAGCTCCCACATTGGGATAGCACACTTCCTTCTTCCTCCCTGTGATTCCCATCTTCCCTCATCCTTCTGCTTATCCCTTCCTGCCGTCTGTGCATTCTCCCCAGGCAAAACGATTTTTTCTTCTCATAAAAATAGTCTTAAGAAATAAGCTTTTTTAAAAAAATAACAACCACCACCACCACCACCCCCTCAATCGAATGTTGGGAATCATGTGTTACATAAGCATTGAGCCACTAACGTAGAGGTTGAGCTTGGAACCTGTCTCCCCCTCGGTGGGGGAAAGGTGTGGAGGCCTGCTCCTGTGAAGATTTCCAGCCTCAGACACCCCACGGGGCAGTTCGACTCCATCCTGTGGGGTGACTAGGAGCCGGTATTGACTTAATGGTGGGGAGTCGTGTTGAATCATTGTTATCTGGTGCCTGCCCTCTGAATAGTGATCTGGAGAACATGAATTTCACTTTTCTTGATGAGTCGTGACATCAGCTTTAAAGACAAATGGCCCCAGAATAAAGCTTGTTAGCATTTGCAGTAGGACACAGTGTTATTGTAGGTTTGGGGATCACATGTGCACACATGCCCCGCCCCACCTGTGTAGTTAATATACGATGGGCACTTTAGCTCCTCTGGGATTGTGTTCTTTTCCTACAGTTAAGAAGCCCTGGTGGCTTAGTATGTTACGTGTTGGGTTCCTAACTTAGAGGTCGTCAGTTCTAACGCACCACTCGTGAGGCCCTGGGGTTTTGTTTCAGGGCCCTGGGAAGTACAGATCTGACCTTTCTCCTCTCTGACTTTGCCCTGCAGTCTGACCCTGACCTTCCGGCAGATGTCCAGACGCCGTCCTCCGCTGAGCTGGGGCGGTACCCCGGCCTGCCCTTCCCGACCTCTCAGTACATCCCGCCGCAGCCGTCCATCGAGGAGGCCCGCCAGACCATGCACTCCCTCCTGGACGACGCCTTCGCCCTCGTGGCCCCCAGCAGCCAGCCGGCCATCTCTGCGGGTGCCGGGCCTGGACTCCCTGCCGGCCTGCCCGTCAACAGCACTCCATCCCGTGAAGAGCGGAGGGCTACCCAGTGGGGTGCCTTCTACAGCCCGGCCCAGGCGCCCAACAACCCGTGCAGCGTGAGTCCTGCCTTGGGTGAGGCTGGAGGGCCTGGTGCTGGACTCCCAGGTTTTCAGGGTCCCTGGGCACACTGGTTGCATTTGATGAGGATGAAAGCGTGTGTGATGAGTCTTGATTTTTGGGCTCATCCTGGGTTAATTGTTGAGGTCCCTTTGCGGGGTGCAGCCAGCTTGCTTGGCTGGTGGTTCGGGTCTGCCCAGGGCACCTTGGAAGAAAGGCCTTGTGATCTACGTCCAGTAAGTCAGCTGTTGAAAACCCTGGTGAACATGGTTCTGCCCTGACACACGTGGGTCCCCTCGAGTCAGCAGGGACTCAGCCGCAGCCAGGAGAGAAGTGCGTTCTTTCCTCCGCCCCCCACTGTTATTATTATTTTTTTTAATTTTAAATTTATTTTAATGAATGTTTACAGAGACTTTGGAGAAGTGAGTTCTTGATGTTGGATCGTAGTGTCAGAGCTTTCAGAGGTGGTTTTAACCACATGTGAGGAGATTGCTCCTCTGTCCCCCGAGAAGGTGGATCTGAACTGCCTGCCTCCAGGATTGCAGCGCAGCTCCTGACCACCAGGCCACCAGAGCTCCCTTGGAAATTGTGAGGTGCTGTGTTGTCCACACAGGGTTCAGCAGGGAAGGACCCAGGGTCCCACGCCTCACTCCCTCTGCTGTGCTTGGTTAAGCCGGTCACTGTTGGAAGCGGCCCTTTGGAGGCTCAGATGAGTTCAGAGTTGGAGATGAAGGGGAACAGATTCCTTGACTGTCTACAGCTTGGACCTGGAGGTGGATCGAGTAACTTCCCAGTCCTGTTCTCATTGCTGTTGGCGTAAAGGGTGTGGCTTAGGCTGTGGCCAACCCCTGCCCCGCCTCCTGTGACCCCTGAATGTGAGAAGACCCCCCCCTCCCCCAGCAAACTGGCCACACCTGGCAGGGACAGCCGACTTCAAACACCACCTTTCCACCTTGGGGGTTGACACTATTATTTAATCTGCCGTTGCTGTCCTTTATTTATTTATTTCAGTCTTCAGTCAATTTTTTTTTGTCCTTGTTTTAATGCACCTTCTTAAGACACAAAGAAGTGAAGTGGGAGAAGTCACAGTGAAGTGATCTTGGTAGGAGGGTCTCTGAGTCGGGGGTCCTGTGTAAGACACCACTTCTGTTGACTTCAGCTGCAGTCTCCCCAGGGCTCCCCAGTCTCCCAGCCCCCTGAGTGCCCCCTTTCATGGCTCCTGGTGTTTTTCATATCCCGGAATGCCATGCAGTGGGCGCCCTCCAGTGCCCAGCTTTTTTCAAGCCCCTCTGTTCAGCCTGTGTTCTTTCTAGAAGACACTCCCAGCTCTCCAGCGGGGCTCTGCCATTTCTGCTCCCATGAGGATGAGTTCCTATTGTTCCACACCCTCGCCACACTGGGGAATGTCAGGATTTGCCCAGGGATTGTTGACAGATTTGTGCTGCTGTTCTGTTTATTACTAGGCCTCTCTTGTTGTACACTCATTTCTCATTCACTGTATGTGGGGGCTGAGGTTTGAGGATTCTGTAATCATGTCTTTCATCTGCCATTCTAACAAGGACCCCAGGTGGTGCAGTGGTTAAGTGCTTGAGTGTTAACTGAAATGTCAGCAGTTCAGACCCCCCCAGTGGCCCCATGAGGGAAAGCTGTGGTGTTCTGTTTCTGGAGTGGCCACAGCCTAGGACCCCCGTGGGCAGTTCTGCTCCATCCTGTGGGGTCTTTGAGTTGGGATTGAGTTGACACACACACCAACCCTTTTAACCTAAAATCCAAGCCCACAGAAAGTTTTTTCATGATCTCTGTTCTCCTACTTTCTCCGGGTGGACTGGGGAGGCTGCCCTTGTGTGTCTTGGCTGGCCCAGAGGGACATAATCAGCCTCCATTTGCGTCCTTGACCGCAGTAGAAGCCACAAGAATGTGGCCCTCACAGTGCCTCCCGTCCCCTGAGCGTGTGCTCACTGGCTGTGACTTTAGAACTTCTCGTTTGTTATTTACATTGGTGAGTTAGGACACTGGGTTGTATTTCTGCTTCCTGATGTAAACAGAACAAGCCCAACCCAGCCACTACTGTGGCATCGATTCCCACTCTGAGTGACCTTGTGGGAGAGCGTCCACCTGCTACGTTTCCATTCCAAGGCTGTGAGTCTTCACAGGAGCAGACTGCCTCATCTTTTCTTGCTCTCCTGTGGATTTGAACCACTGACCTTTAATTTAGCAGCCAAGCTCTCTAGCCGCTGTGCCACCAGAGCACTTCTTTTGCTTTCCTAAGGAGATTTAACTCCTCTCTCCAGGCTAGGCTTCGCAGTCTCTGGACACCTGGTTAAGGACTGTGTCCGGCTGCTGCTCTGTTGGCGTCCCTGACTCCACTGGCCACTGCCAGCCTCTCAGGCATTGGTGCCCTGAGTTCTATACTGAGGAGAAAATGGGGGAGTAGGGGGGAGATTTTCATGGGAAAAGCTGATGACCTGATCCTACAGTTCAAGTTTGCCCTCAGACTTTTGTCTAAGTTCCACCACTTAAACTGAGAACCTGACTACTTTCTCTGGTTCCTTTTAAAACCTTTTTATCGGTTCAGCTAATCTCTAGAAAACAAATATCTTTTGTTCTGATGATAGTAGAGTTGATGTTAAAATAAGGCAAAAAAGCATGGACAGCTATTTCTCAGGTTTTTTTATTTTAGTTTATCACTTACTCAAAACAACAAACAAACAAAAACTCCCCAACACCCACCCAGCACAAACTCATTGTGTAGAAGCAATCCAGACTCATGTTGTGTCTTCAAGTCTCCTGTGACTCATAGCGACCCGATGTACAACAGCCCTAAACCCTGCTCTGTCCTGTGCCGATCGCTCTGCCTCTGACACCCCCACCCAATTACCCGAGTCACTGAATCAGTCCACCTCATAGAGGGTCTTCCTCTCCTTCGCTGTCTCTCCACCCTCCCAAGCATGGTGTCCCTCTCCAAAGACTGGTCCCTCCTCACAACATGTCCAAAGCATGTTAGATGGAGCCTCAGAGTCCTTGCCTCTAAGGAGCAGCTTGGTTTAACCCTCTTCAGAATGAACCTGTTCGTATTTTTTGGTTAGCAGCCCAGAATTTAACCACAGTATAACCAAGACCTCCTAATATTCTGGTATAGAATTAGGCTTGTTTTTGCTTTGCATATGAATATCTAAGTAACGCAAACCTTACTGAAAGCCTAGAGGCCGTCATGTGTCATCCTACCCCAGCCTTCCATTGCTCTTTCGTTATGTGGAAGAAGCGTCACTCTGCCTTTCCTTCACTGCCTCATTTCCTCTTCCATCATCCCTGCCCGTTTATTTTCTGCAGAGCTCCGAAGTCCTTCTCAATCCTCAACCATGAGGCTGGGCCTCCGAATGGGTCAGAGGCGATGGAACTGGACACCAACTCCCATTCCAGTAATCTCTTTAGACTCTGAGAGGTGGAGATCTTGCTATTTCTCTTGGCACAAGGAAATCCGCAGGACTTAGTTAAGTAGCTTGGCTAGTCTGTCTGACTCCACAAAGCAGAGACTTGTTCAGGGGTGGAGGGAGACCACAGTGTTGGGTGGAGAGTTGTGGGGGAATGCACGGTCTCTGGAGGAAGACTCCTCAGACAGACCTTACTAGAATTTTCTGTGAGTTGGTTTCATCTGCAGAGCAGAAGTAGTAATTAATGCCCACTCTTTAGAATCATAGGGAGCTCTGGGGGCCAAGTGACAAGAAGCTGCACTGCAATCCCAGAGGTGCACAGTTTGAATCCACCTGCATCTCTGTGGGAGAAAGATGAGCAGTCTCCTCTCATGTGATTAAATGCCTCTGACAGCCTGCCAGAGGGTCAGCTGTGGGTTGGTTTCAACTCAGTGGTACACAACAACAACAACTACAACAACAACAACAACTTTAGAGTTGTGTACAGTCTTCAATATGGATTGCATCTCCACATCAAGAAGAAAAAAGTCTTTACCACTCGAAAGACAGATAATGAATGAGAGTGAGTTAGTGTATATGTATATGGAATTTGTAAGCAAACCAATATAAAATAGAATTTTTAAAAAACTAGCAAAAATAAATCCTTACCACTGGACCAATAGTTAGGAGATCCGGAAACGTATTGCATTGGGGAAGTCTGCTTTCAGGAACCTCTTCAAATGACTTAGTCCCAGTGATCACAGTTTGAAGACCAAGTTGTGCCTGATTCAAGTCATGGTCTTTTCAGTCACCTGTTGTTGTGCATCTGAAAGCTGAACAGTGAATAAGGATGACAGAAAAAGAATGACGTCTTTGAGCTGTGGTTTTGAAAAAGAGCACTGGCGAGCTCTGGTGGCCTAGTGGCAAGAAGCTGCACCGCAATCCCAGAGGTGTGCTGTTCGAATCCACCAGATGCTCTGCTGGAGAAGGATGAACAATCTCCTCCTGTACCAGTCAGATCTGATTTGACGGTACACACACACACAAAAAAAAACCCCCCACAAAATAAAATATAAAAAAAAGAAAAGAAAAAGAGCACTGACTATCCTACGGCCTGCCAAAAGAACAGACACACATGTCTGGGAGAAAGCGTGGCCAGAGTGCTCCTTGGAAGAAAGGGTGGTGGAGATTTACCTCACATATGTCGGGCAAGTTGCGAGGAGAGGCTATTCCTTAGAGAGACATCATGCTTGGAAAGATGGAAGGTCAGTGAGAGAGAGGAAGACCCTCAGGGCAATAGACTGATAAAGTGCCTGCAGCAGTGGGCTCAAGTGAATCAGAGGTAGTGAGAATGGCACAGGATGGGAGAGGGTTCAGATCCATTTTTCATAGAATTATTCAACTTGATGACTCCTGACAACCACCACCACCACAACCACCTTAGAGTCATTGTGAGTCAGAGTTGTTGCACAGCCAGCCTGTTGCACTGCGACCCTGAGGCCCAAGGAGAACCACCACAGTCTCCAGGGCTGTAGACCTCCACAGAAGCAGAGTACTGTGTCTTTCTCCTGTGGAATGACTGGAACTGCCAACCTTGAGGTTAGCAGCCAAGCATTCAACTGCTATGCCTTTAAGGCTCCCTTGTCCTTCCTTCAGTGGGTGATTGGACAAACAAGGCATGCAGACAGGAGGGTATTACTCCAAGCAAAAGGAATGGTGTTCTGAGACCTGCTAGCACACGGAGGGTCCGTGACAATATTGTCCTCACCCATCTCTGTGACTATCTAGTCAGTTCTTTGTCTCCTGACTTTGTAGGACAGGGTAGAAGGGCCCCATAGTGCTTCTGAGGCTGTAAATATTTTTTTTTCTTAAAACACAAAACCAAGGAGCAGTGACTTATAAAACTGTCACACAGAGCAGAGTGACAAATCACTCCACTGTTATAAAATAGGGACCGAACATAAAAAATCAGCATGGCCATCAGAACTCTAACATGCTATTAACTATGGCACTTCACAGAAGATCAGCATTATCAGAGGCTGTAAATCTTTACAGAAGGAGACTGCCTTGTCTTTCTCCCACAGAGTAGCTGATGGGTTCAAACTACCGTCCTTTTGGTTGTCAACCAAGTGCCTAATCGTGGAGCCACCAGGGGTCATGCATATACAGTCTGTTGCTGTCAAGTTGATTTTTGTAGCAGCTCTGCTTCGGGTCTCCGAGGCTGTAAATCTTATCAGGAGATTACCTGTCTGGCTCTTGAGGAGCGGCTGATAGATTTGAACCGCTGCCTTCTGGGTAACAGTGCAACAGGTTACACAGTGTGCCACCATGGGACACATGCAGTAGCTAGGATAAACTACTAATTCAGTTCCTGGCCACATAAAGACGGAGGTCTGATACCGGCGAGGCCCAGAATCGAGGGTGGTGGAGGCCTGGATTCAGAGCACCCGCCTCACCCTGTCCCCAGCTGGAGTGTCCTGGAAGGGCTGCGACTGGAGCATCAGACTCCAGGACAGCCGCCAGGAGTTGCTGGGGAAGAAATACTGGGACAGGAATCGCTGTTAGTGCACGTGCATTTCTGGAGAATGCAGCAGGGTCAGGTGTGTCTCGGGCCATCCTGTCTTAGAACCAGCAGAGACTTTCTTAGATTAGCTCTAGAAACAAGAGTTGGTGGACGGATATAGGACATCTCCTGGAATTTAGGGGGACTGGTGGGGTGGGGTCTCTTTGGAACCAGAACTCGAGCGTGCTCACTTCCTCTCTGAGGGCCTCTCTGATTTCTCATTCTCTTTGTATTTGTTCACTTTTTACATCACCACGCAGCACCCACATAGGTTAGCTTCCTGCACAAATTGGAGTGACTGCTGGATCCTCCCAGGGTCACCTGACCATTGGGGGATGTATTGACAGTCACTTGTGCTTGATATTGCAACTTAGATCCAGGTAGGGAATGAGGCTGTGGACAAGGACTGGCCCAGAAAGCCGCTTGTTCACCTTGTCAGTTAGATTATGTAAAATAGGAGATCCCACGCTGTCAGTTACATTATATAAAATAGACGATCTCACCCCACTCCCTGCTCTTAGGTCTGTTCCCCTTGTAAGGACCCTGTGTGACAGCCGCCGTGCAGGAGTTTCAAAGCTTTACATGTTTAAGGGATCAGGTTGCCAACCCCCCTCCCGCCTCCCTGCCCCCCTCCACAGTGTCTGGTGGATTTGAACCACTGATGCTTCAATTAGCAGTCCGATGGTTAGCCCATGGTGTCACCAGGTCTCCTACAAGATAGACAGGTCTAGAAATCAGTTGTGTTTTCGTATTTTCCTTCTCTAAACCCTGGTAGCCCCACTCCCCAGACTGAAATGTCTAATACTACTTTATGGCAGACTACTCCACAAGCGTAGTTACTTTTTATGAGAAATAATCCTCTTGAAAGCTGACCCTGCAGACTTAAGTTAGTACTTCTGTTGTCACCTTATAATAAGCATTAAATATTAATCTGCTTTTCTTGCAGAGGTATGAGGACTATGGGGTGACGCCCCCGACGGGACCATTGCCAAGGTAAAAAGCCTTATTTATTTATTTATTTATTACCATAATAAAGAGAGGTCTTTTTAAACCAGCACTTTACGCAGAGAGGAGAGCCGGGTAGAGAAGGGATCAGGACTTGTGATCAACCCGGGTAAAGTTAATAGATGGAAGTATTTTTGGCTTTCTCCCCTCTAGGTTGCATTTTAATTTTGTAAACTCTTTTTTTCTTGGTATGAGTAGACTTGAGCTGAGTTATTTGTTCTCTGGACCTAGCCAAAAAAGTAGAAAAAGAGGTGGAATTCAAATTCTCCTTCCAGTGTTGACTAATTAGATATTTGGACTAACCTTCCTGCTGAAGACGACTAGAATAGCTGGAAAATTACTAAGAATTATTTTTTTCCCTGTGATTTGAGTGCAGATTTATGCAGCTGCCTGATGCCTCAGCCATTCATGCACATTTGGTTTTTATAACACTAGTTACAATATCCACGATGCAGCCACACTTTCCCTCTCCCTCCCTGTGAGTCTCTCTTCCATTCATCCTTCTAGTGTACCTTTTCTTGCTCTTAGGTCTTTATCCTTAGGGAAATATTGCTCCTTTGACCTCCTGTGGTGGGTTATTCTAAGTAGTGAGTCCCTTCCTGGTGTTACTGGTCATTCTTACTTGGCTGAAAATTTACCACAGGGTGAGTTTTGTTTTAGGTCAGAAAGTACAGAAGGGTCATAGTCTCAGGCATCCTGCCTTTCCCTTTTGGACTAGTAAGTCTGACCTTTTTATTTTTTGATGTTTGAAATGGGCATTTTATTTCCAATATGAATCTTCAACAATTTTTTCCACCTCTGTTTTTTTATTGGTGTGTATGTAATTATTCATATACATTGCATTTCATTCAGGCACATAGTGTGTTGTAAGTTTTTTGGTGTGTATTTCACACTGACTTTTTAAATGATTTTTCATTTGATCCCGTGCTTCTCCTATTCTCTCCAGGGTCCCCTTCTGTGCTCCCCTTTTTTTGCTAGTAGCTATATGTAAGTGGATGTTTTTAAAATTTTTCAAATTTTTTATTAGTTTGCTTACAAAGTTCATGTCCGATGTGTTTCACACTGTTCATCATTCACGTTCACATTGTGTTTCGTCCAGTCATTCCCATGCTTTATGCTTTATAACGTTGATCACCATTGGGCCTTGCCCATCATTACCCTGTCTTTTCAGGTCTTCCCTTGGATCCTTCGCATTTCCTTCACCCCCTCCCTCCACCCTGCAAACTGTGCAACCCTGTGGCTTCACCCCTACCTGTCCTCACCTCTCTGCTTCCCTCCCTCCCGTTGGGTCCCCATACACGTTTTACTAGTTATCCTTCTATTTTTACAATAATGGTCTTTTGCAGTGTTCTGTGCCCCTTTTAAGAGGGCTCAGTGATAGCTCTTTTGGTCCAGGCTTGTGGTACTGACATCTACATGGCCCATTGGTCCTTTGAACAAATTGTTTCTGTACATCTTTGCTTTTCTCCCCTCTTCTAGAAACCCCCATTTGGCTTACAAGGATATGCAGGAAAATATCAGGATACAAGTAGAGTATGGAAGGAATAACTCTAGAATAAAGGCAGCTCTCTGATGGTTTTTGTCATGTGGATAAAATTGAGTGTCGTAAATGACAAGCCTCACTGCCTTTACTCTTCCCTTCCCTCGGTCCTGACGCCTCTATCAGTTTGTCCCAGGCGTGGACTTCAGAGGCCACAGGTGACCTTACTGTGCAGCCCGGGCTGAGGTGCCCCAGTTGTGTGATGCTCTTGAGCAGGTGTGAGAACGTCCTGATGGGAAAGTTGTTGACTTTTGACTCGTGGTCCCCAACGAGACAGAGCAGAACTGCCCCACGGGGAGACGGAATGACGTCAGGGCTGCAGTGATGGGCTCACACACAGCGGCGGCTGTGAGGCTGGACCAGGCCCGGACAGGGCTACGTTCTGCTGTGCTCAGCGTCTCTGTGAGCCTGAGCTGAAAGTGCCTCCCAGTCACAACACTTGTTATGGAAAGAGCCCTGGTGCGGCAGTGGTACAAGTTCTCTGCTGCCAACCAAAAGGTCCGCGGTTTGAATCCACCCACTGCTCTGCAGAAGGAAGATGAGACGGCCTGCTTCTGTAGAAATGTTAACTGCTGGGCAGTTCAGGGCTGTCCTGCAATGCCACTGTGAGCTGAGGTCCACTCGGTGGTAGTGACTTGGAGTTTGGAGTGGGGGTTTTGGGGTGCTGGGCTAGAACCTGACTTTTTCATTAATAGCTGGTGCTTAACTACTGTGCAGGCTGCCAGCGCCCTTTTGGTAAGTGGAGGGTCATCGAAACTGAGGGTGACCCCTGTGAGAGGCGACACAGGAGCCTTAGCTATGGGCTAAGATGTTCCAGCACCCTAGAAGCCGGGGCAGGCCCAGGACGCTGTCCCCCTCACACCTGACGTTGCTGTGAGCCAGGGCCGATTTCGTACAACTGCTGACTGTAGCAATGGACGGTAGTGATGTCAGAGATGGTGAGCATGGCACAGGAGAAGGCTTGATCTCCTGCTCGTGGGATTATTAGGAATAATAGTCAACTTGAAGATGTGTGACAACAACAGAGTTCCTGGGACCAGCCCTGTGTCCAGCAGAGGAGGGGAGGGTAGTGGTGACAGGACAAGCTGTCCACACCACCTCTCTTTCTGCTAGCTGAGCTGATCCTCACACTCCAGGGTCCTGTGTGGCTCTGACTGGGTGTGCTCTGCCCTCAGGCCCAGCTTTGGCCCCGGACTGTTGCCGTCCTCGGACCTGGGGCCCCCAGAGCCCATGCAGCCCCAGGCTGAAGCGCCCTTCACTGCCCGCGGGATCTACTCGGAGGAGGTGGCCTCGGTGGCCCGGCCCCGGCCTGTCGGGGGCACCACAGGTACGTGGGTCTCTCTGCTGGTTGTCTTGTGAACTGGAGGATGTGTGTTTGTCGCTACAGGTCACTGGGGTCCAATTCAGGTTCTCCCACAGTGTTCCCACACCCCTTCCCACCCTGGTGAGAGTGGTGCTGGTGGAGATGGAGGGGTGCTGTTGGCTGAGGTCCCCAGGGCATCCCCAGGGCACCACACGGGTGGTCCTCAAGGTACCACAGGTTTGATTCTGAACCTCAGCAGTAGAGGGGATGCCAGAACCAGCCGAGTCACCAGACATGGGCATGCTTGTTCGTCCCCCAGGCATGTAGACGCTCTGCGGTGGTCTGTGAATGTGTGAGGAAAGCGTTTGCAGAGCCGCACGGAGGACTGAGTGGCACTGAAGCTCCACAGGGAGCGATGCACGCTGCTGGGAAAATCGGGGCCAGCAGGCGTTCTGCTCAGGAAGGGCCAGACATACCAAAAAACCCCAACTTAAAACCCCACCAGCTCAGTATCTGTGAAGCACCCTGAGTCAGCCCCTTCAAGGGATGACCCAACATCTCTGGGCCAACGAGGCTCTCCTCTCTGATGGGAGATATCCGTCTGAGCAGTGGGTAAGTGTGGTGGTCTCCCAGCACTGGCCAATCACAGTGCCCTAGTGGGGCCTTAACAGAGAACATATTGTCCTGAAGTTCTGGACGGCGGAACGATAAACTCAGGTGATAGCAGGGCCCTCAGAATACTAGGGGAGCCCCCTGTCCCCCAGTGTCTGCTGGCTCTGGGTCCTCCTAGACCTGTATCCCCATCACACCTGCTGTCGAATCCTCCACATCCCTGCGTGCTCACCTCTGTCTCCTCATGAGACACCAGTTGTTGGCTGTGCGCCCGCCCGCCCTTCTGCAAAGTGATACTTCTCACCCAGCCGCACTGCAGAGTGTTCTGAGGCCGATCACAGTGCCCTAACAGGGCCTCAAAGTTTTCTGATGGCCGTGTTCTGAGGGTCCAAGAGGACAGGAATTTTGGGGACCTTTATTTAACCCACTGAAGCTATTCAGTCAAGTGTCCATGGTTTTAAGGCAGATGCATCCACAGCTTTTAAGAAGCAAGTGTGGGATGTTCTTCCAAAGGCAGGCAGGTGACCCCAGAGAGAACTTTGGGGCACATGTAAGAGTGGACATACAGCAAGAGAAGGACCCTATGTAAACATGAATACAGCGTAAGAGCTTATCATAAACAGCTTGTGAAGCTGCTGACCTGTGGCTGGAGGGAGATTGTTTTATTTTGTCACGCTGCCTGTTAATTTGAGGGGGCTGTTAATTTCCCATCCAATTTATTAGTCTCCTGAGTGATCCTGCCCTCCTCCTGCCTACATTGCCTGTCCCCATGTCTGAGTCTCACTGTCCCTTTCTGCTGTCACTGACATGGGTAGCGTTGGAGCAGGGACTCAGGAAGGTTGCTCTGGAAGATTTCGGGTCCTTTTACCCTCCAAGCCCTTGTTAAATGAGTCAGTGTAGAACCACATGCGTCTTCACATGAGAAGTTAACATAGAAATCCTGGTTTGTGTGAATTAGTTGCCATTGTTACTGCTGTGACGCTGACCCTATTCCTGTTCCTAGTGTAAATCATTAAACTTTTGAAAAGCAGGGGAACAACGTGACATGTGAGCTTTTGATTTAGTGGTGACACTTCTGGGAATATTTATTGTCCCCACCCCTCCAAGAAATAAAAAAACATCTCTGGTAACTAACTACTGAAGATGTTTGATGCAGCATTACCCAGAGCTGAAAACAAACCAAGTGCCCGGCAGTGGGTGTGGTGCATGACCTGTGTTTATGAGTGGTTTGTGAGTTGGGGGGGGGCATCTGTGATTTAGTTAGTGGAGGGGTGGGCTCTGAGGGCATGAGCAGTGTGCCAATGTCATGGGGTCACTGGGTGCAAGCTGGGGTGTGGATGGCTTGCTGGGGTGTGGTTGGGCATTCTGGGGTGCAGGTAGGCTTGATGAGGTTGGGCTCACTGGGTGCAGCCAGCCTTCCTTGCCGAGGGCACTGCCCTGAGCCCTGGGGGAGGTTGTCTCATGCTGGGAGGGGCGCACTGTTTGTTTCCTGCTGTGGCTGCAGCTGAACTAGAGCCAGGCTGCCTCTTGCTGTCTGTGTTCTTGGAGCCTTTGCAAATGACTGTGCTGCATCTGTTCTGTGCAAAGGTTTGCTCAAGCCGTGCCTGGTGGTCCCCTGTTCTTATGCATCCTGTTGTTGTTGTTGTTTGCTGTCAAATCGAGCATAGCTCATAATGACCCTATGAACAAAAGGTCTGAAGCTTTTCTATAACTATCGACATTTATCAAAGTTCGTAGAGTTTCCAGAAGCATGTTGTTCAGGAAGTGGATGCCGCTCCAGCTTCCGTCCTATGCATCTTCACCGTCTTAAGCTGCATGGCTTTCTGGAAGTGACAGTATTCCAGCCCGTGATTGCTTTGGGCGCACCGTGGTCCTGTCTTTATCCCTGAGGGCACAGGGTTACTTGCTACACTAACTGAAAGGTTGGCTGTTTGAATCCACCAGTTGCTCCAGTGAAGAAAGCTGGTGGTCTCCACTGCACAGGCTTACAGCTCTGGAAACCCAGTGGGCATCGCGGGGGCTCAGTACCAGCTTGAGCAAAGGGCTTTGTTTTTTGGTTTTGTTTTTTTAAAATATGGAACGCTTCATGAATTTGCGTATCATCCTTGCGCAGGGGCCATGCTAATCTTCTTTGTATCGTTCCAATTTTAGTATATGTGCTGCCAAACCGAGCACTGTTTTTTGGTTTTTGTGGTATGTCTGGTGGGACGAACTGGGTCCCCTAAAACGAGATATTGAAGTTACAAGCTGACGCATGAGAGCATGACCTAGTTGGGAAGCACTGTTTGCAGAGGTGACTAGCTCACGTGAGGTCATGCTGGAGCGGGCCACATCCTAATCCTAACTGGCCAGTGTCCTCCTGAGAAGAGAAAGAAGAGATGCAGAGAGACCCACAGAGGAAAGGCGGCCCCGTGGAGGTGGAGGCAGAGCCTGGTGCGAAGCTGCTATCAGCTCAAGAATTGAAGACCAATCTTCTAGAGCCTTCCGGGAGAGCAAACATGGTGTTGCCCAAATCCACTGCTGTCCAGTTCATTCTGCCTCCCAGCGAGCCTGGAGGGCAGAGCAGAGCCATCCCGGCGGGATGCCAACGGGGTGAATCTTTACAGAAGCAGACACCTCCTCCTTCCCCTGCAGGGCAGCTGGTGGAGTCCAACCTCAGACCTTTCAGGGAGCAGTCCAGACTCAACCACTGCATCACCAGGACCCCTTGCAGATTTACTAACACCCTGAATTCTATTTTCTGGGCTCCAGAACAGGGGAGGATACGTTTCTTTTTTCTAAAAATTTTATTATTTTGTGTGTGTGTACGGTCAAACCAGATCTGACTGGTACAGGAGAGAAGATTGCCCTTTCTTCTCCAGCAGAGCATCTGGTGGATTTGAACTGCATACCTCTGGGATGTTATGCATCAGAGAGTTGGACAGTGAATAGGGTTGACAGAAAGAGAATTGATGCCTTTGAGCTGTGGTGCTGGAGAAGAGTGTTGAATATACCATGAACTGATAGGAGAACAAACAGGTTTGTCCTGCAAAAGGTGAAGCCAGAATGTTCCCTGGAGTCAAAGATTCTGAAGCTTCATCTGGCATACTTTGGGCATGTTGCAAGGAGGGACTGGTCCTTGGAGAGGGACGTCATGTTTGGCAGAGTGGAGGGGCAGCAAAGGAGAGGAAGACCTTTGATGAGATGGATCGATTCTGTGACTGGAGCTGTGGGAATAAGTGCATTTGGGATGGCTAGCTTGGCACAGGATAGAACAGCATTCAGGGCTCTTGTACATAGGGTCGCTAGAGTCACAAATGACTGGATGGCACATAACAACAACCACCACCTCTGGGATCACAGTGCAGCTTCTTACTACTAGACCACCAGAGCTCCCGAGGATGCATTTATTTCTAAGCACACACTTTGTGGCAGCTGTTACAGCATCCCCAGGAAATGAATCCAACATCTGAACAAAAGCACTGAGCAGTGAGGCCCCTACCCCGAGCTCCCCCTCAGCCGTCAGTGTATTGTAACTCTAACACGAGTTAGAGCGGATGTGAAGATGGAAAGGGCAGTCCCCAGGCGTCTGTGACTGTCTGAAGGTGGGTGAGACCTATCTAAGCATCAAGGGTGACTTTGGTGACCCCGTTAGTATTTTAGGAGCCCTGGTGGCACAGTGCATTGAGTATTAGAATGCCAACCAAAAGATCCAAGGTTCTAATCCACCACCCACTGCAGGACTCAGACGAGTCAGCCTCATCCTGTAGACCCTGACAACCTCAGAAGCCAAGGGGGGTCGTCCTGAGTCACCGTCACCTCAGTGGGGTGGGGTTTGATGACAGTGGTTAAGCAGTTTGATCCCACCAAAGCCACGCCGGAGCACAAAGCTGGGCATTCTGCTTCTGTACAGAGTCACAGCTTTGAAACGGAAATCCCTCCGAGCTGGTCCGATGAGTTCTGCTCGGTTCTCCTCTACTCTGAAGGCTCCTCTGAGCTGGAATCGAGTTGACAGCAGGAGAATGGGCTTTGCGTTTCAGCATTTTCCCCCACAGTGTCTGGAGACCACTTTTTCTTCTCTTGGTTTGCAGCATAGACACGAGCCTCACAGAAGTAGTTGAGGGAGGCTGCAATACTGCTTACACATCCGCCTTCACATCCACCTGAGGGGGCAGTGCCTCCCGCAGGAGAATGAACGCCAGTCCCCCAGGTGCGTCTCTGTGACGAGGCTCCAGTGGGCTTAAACTGTAAACAGTGACGGAGCCAGGCCAACGAAGCATGGTGGAAGCGAGCCTCGATATTCTGGATCCAAATCAAGGCAGGCCCTATTTTTAGGGGAGAAAGGAGGTGATATTTTCAGTTCCTTTGAAAACCTCAAAGGTGCAACCATGAAGACGCTGAGAATCTGCTTTTCCTGTGGTGCCAAACCCTTTTCTTCTTTTCTTCAGGATCTATAGGGCCATCCTTACTGTAACCTCTACAGAAATGAAAGGAAGTGTGTTCTAACAACCCCTTCCTCCCCAGCCCCTTCATGCTCAGGAAATGAGAGCATCACTGTCAGCCCCTGTATTTAAAGGAAGGAAAAGCCCATGAACAAGGAGACAACAGTTTGCTTTTCTGGAGGAAATGTCATTTTCTGAGGCTACCTGTTAACCAAAGGTTGGCAGTTCGAACCTGCCCAGAGGCACCTTGGAAGATGGGCTTGGTGATCTGCTTCTGAAAGGCCACAACCTTGAAAACCCTACAGAGCAGGTCCAGTCTGCACACACAGGAGGCCCTGCGTCAGCTCACCGTTGAGGGCTGGTCTGTGGGTGCGTTGGATGGAGGCGCCACGTTCCAGGGATGCTCAACGACTGTTCTTAAAGATACGCAGTGAAGGGTGCTCTGGTGGCCTAGTGGCAAGAAGCCATGCTGCAATCCCGAAGGCGCACGGTTCTAATCCACCAGATGCTCTGTTGGAGGAGGAGAGGCAGCCTCCTCCTGTGCCAGTTGGATCTGACTCGATGGTACAAGAAAGAAAAAAAAATGCAGTGGTCAGACTGAAGTGGCTGTACATGGTGGTCTCACTGCCCACTGGACTGACCAGGCCGCCCTCTGCTGTGTTTATTCTAGGTTCCCAGATCCAGCACCTCACGCAGGTGGGCATCTCGAGCAGGGTTGGTGCTCAGCCTGGGGAGGCGCCTCCAGGCCGGAGTGGCCAGTACGGGGGCCCAGGATGGACAGTGTACGGGGAGGATGAAGCTGGGCGGAGAGAGGCTGTGAGTATTTGTTTGTTGTTTGGGTCATCATTTAAAGATCAGACGTCATGACTTCACTTAGCTCCTCCTGCTTTGGGGAGAACGGTTAAAGCCCAGGAGCCCTTGGCAGCATGGCAGTTAAGGACATGGATGCTGATCCAAAAGATTGGTGGTTTGAACCCACCAGTCGCTCCATGCCGAGCCTGATTGATTCCGCAATGGGGGATGGACTCCAAACCCAATATGGAACTGTTGAAGCTCTTTCTCCGCTGGTCCAGTCCCGCTCACCGAGGTGTAGTCTCACCTTCAGGTGGCTGTGGGGAAACAGTACAGTCAGGATGGTAACAGTTCCATGTCCAGTCCTTCCCTGTTACACCTGCCAGTCCTCTCAGTTAGACAAGAGGCTGAGTGCAGGACACAGGCTCTGAGTTCGCTGTTTTCCTCTGTCAGTTAGAAGGTAAATTCATCTTGACCACAGTGGGTGGAAGCCAACATTATCTGGAAGGTCTCTTCTCTCTGGGGCCTCCGGTCAGTCCCGGTTCTCATCTTAGCTTTGAGTTCTCCCCTCCTGACCTTCCCTTCCTTGGGGGGGCTCCAACCTCACTTCCTGCCCAGCTCTAACAATCTTCCCTAGGGAGATCTGGTGGCCTAGTGGCAAGAAGCTGTGCTGTAATCCTGAGGGCACATGGTTCAAATCCACAGGTGCTCTGCTGGAGGAGGGGCAATCTCCTCCTGTGGGAGTCGGATCTGATGTGACTGTGCACAACAAGAAAAAGTAAAAAAAAAAAATTAAGAAGAATCTTCCCTGTCTTCCTGCTGGGCAGAAGCCCCAGGCCTCCCCCCCTCCACACACCCCCTCCCCATTAGGAACAGGAATTGGCCAGCTGGACCCCGAGCTGAATTCCTCCTCTTTAACCCCTCACTCACTTATATGCCTGTCTGTAAGCAGGTGTCACCAGCCTCTTGAATAGATAGGAGTGTCTGAAATATTTCTTGGTGGTTCAAACCCACTCAGAGGCCCCTCTGAAGACAGGTCTGGCCTCCTGCTTCTGAAAACTCACAGCCTGGAAAACTCTGTGAGGCAGTTCGGCTCTGCACACATGGGGTCACTGTAACAATTTGTTAACCCCCTAAATAAAGCCATCACACACATTGCTGACATGGCTGTTAGGTGCCGTTGAGTTGAGTGTGACTCATAGAGACCCTGTGAACAGCAGCCTGAACCTTACACTGTCCTGTGCTGTCCTCATCATCTGACACACTGGACGCATTGCTGCTGACACTCTGGACCCATTGCTGCAGGCACACTGGATGCATTGCTGCAGGCACACTGGACCCATTGCTGCAGGCACACTGGACGCATTGCTGCAGGCACACTGGACTCATTGCTGCAGGCACACTGGACCCATTGATGCAGGCACTGTGTCAGCCCATGTCTACCTTTCCAAACATGATGGAACAGCCTCTCTTAACAACCTGCCCAAGGGTGGGGGACAAAGCTCTTCATCTTGCCTCTGACCCATAGTGACCCTGGAAAGCCTGCCCCATCAGGGAAGCAGATTGCCACATTTTTCTCTTGTGTCATGGCTGGTGGTCTTGAACCCTCAACTTTTTGGTTGGCAGCTACGCCCTTAACCACTGTGCCACTGGAGTCCCTGTTGTTAACAACAGAGGTTTTGGGCAAACCCCTAGAGTAAACCTGGGGGTCCTGTGGAGGCTGGGGGCAGGTGGGGAGTGGGTAGCTCCTCCACGCTGTTGACTGTGATGTTCTGAGTGCAGAGATGCAGTAACACCTGTGTCTTGCAGCCCCACGTGCTCAGCCATCAGGAGTACCCCTCCCCGCCGCTGTTTCAGGTGCCAAGGACTTCGGGCCGCGAGCCCTCAGCCCCTCCCGGGACGGGCCCTGCCAGGCCACTGCAGGGCCCCGGGCTGCCATACGCCACCAGCTCCACTGAGGACCTGCAGCCCGGCCACTCGTCCACATCGCTCATCAAAGCCATCCGCGAGGAGCTGATGCGCCTCTCCCAGAAACAGACGGCCGTGCAGAACTTCCACAGCTGATGGCCGCCGCCTATCTGCTTCCCGTGGAAGCAAGAGTGGGCCTGCCGTGGGCAGCTGGCCACCCGGGGCCTTTCGCAGGAGCCTTCTGCTATGACCTCCCACCCAGGCCCAATGGGGATGGCCACTGCCCAGGCTGGAGTCACCAGGACCACAGTGGGCAGCTGTTGGAGGCCCAGCACCCCTGGTGATGCGCCCTTCACTCTGTGGCCACCCTCGGGCCATGTCAGGCCCACACTAACGATGTGACCATAGGGTGTCTCTTTCCTAAAAGCTTGACTAGATGGCCTTGGCTTGAGGGTCCGGAGGTCGGGGAGGGCCCCATGGTACTGGATTGCAGCAAGGATGCGGCCACTTCTGGTGCTGTGAGACGAGACCAGAAAGCTTTTGTGAGCGCCCGATCGCCCTCCATTGCTCTGTAGGAATTTCTTTTTCATAGTCATATGAAAAGACTCAAACCTAGACTGTTGGGAATTTTTTTAAACGATATTAGTGAGAAACCAAAAGAATAGGTCATGTGCGCCCAAGAACCCATGAAGCCATCCTGCGTCCTTCTCTTTCTTCTGGTGCTACCGCCCCAGGGCCCTCGCCCCACATCTGCAAGGGATACATGAAGCTTCCAGTCTGTTCTGTAAAACAAAAGCAAAACCGGCTCAGATTTGGGGTGGGGGAGCTTCATATTTATTTGGTTACTCAGAACACCGCAGTTTAGCTTTTCCATTCTTAGTTGTATTTTGTTTGTGAGCCAGGCACAGGTGGATAACATCCCTCTTGGGTGCCCATCATGATGTTAGCTTCACCCTGGACGGGCCCACAGTCCTGAGGGGCTTCTCAGATGGTGTTTGAACCATGGAAGATGAGCAAACACTGCTGATCCAGACTCCTAGGCCCACCACTTACCGGTCATCTGCCACAGTGGTCACAGGCCCTGTGTGACGGCCTCTTACAAACCCAGTGTTTAGGCGAGTCCTCCTGTGGTGATAGAGAGGATGGTGGCAGGATAAGAGAGTGGCTCCTAATTTCTGCTTCCTCTGTTCGTTGCTCTGAGGAAGGGCTGTTAGCGCCGCCTTACACATTTTGGGCCTGAGAGGAAGGTGAGCTGGCACAAGGTAAACATGTCCCCACTTGACAGGTTACAGTAAGGGATAGGATGGCGTGGTCATTTTGTTTTCTGACACTTGAGTGCAAACACTGGAGAGTAACCAGCTTAGGGACAGAATTCCAGTCAGTCCTGCTTTGTTACATCTGCCATACGTCAAGCCAAAGGCAGACCAATGGGCTCAAAACCTTCCGTCGGGTCAAGATGTGAGGACCCTGTACAGCTGAAATGAGTTTCCCAAGTGAGAACATGAGGGTTGCTAATCCTGCGGTGTCCACTCCTGGAAGACAGGAGTCCGTCTGCCCACTCATACACCCAGCCCTAGAAGAAAGACATGGGGTTTAGAACCCCATCTGTCCATTTCATCTCTCCATTCTTTAGAAGACGGTGGATACTGAGCTCACCACTCAGGCATGGCAAGAAAAAGAATGAACATGTCTTCACACACTCTTCTGTGGCCTCGAAGAGAGTGGAGAAAAGGCATGACTGGACCTGATCTGTTGGCCTTGGTTTAATGCCAGATTTTCCCCAGAGTGGAGACCTCTCTTTGCATGCCATTCAGAAAATGCCAGCTTTCCTGAATATGTAAAGGAAGAATTTGCAATATCAGAGCTTCACTTTATCATAAACATCTTGCTATGAATGAAAATCTTGTCACAGCAAGTGCAAGTGGACTAAATGTACCTGCTTCTCCTTCCTGCCCTGCTCTACTTCCTGTTTGCATATAGATGGCGTGACAGCGGCCTCTGTTTTCAAGAGGTTTGCATGCAACAGCAGTGTTGCTGCCTCTCAAACTAGCATAAAGGGGTCCTACCTGCCTTTTCTTTCCTAGCGTATCTAAACAGACACACTTTCAAAGAGTGTCAAAACCAAAGATGCCGCTGAAGAACTACTGGTGGTAGGTGGTTTGGCACCAGGAGGTTCACTAGGTCACCAGGACTGTGGCCTTGTTGGTCACAGAAGTACCCGGTTTGTACTCCTGCCTTTGCACTCCAATTGCAGATTTACAGACTCGCACCTGAGAACCTTTTAGCAGTGCACAGACCCCAAAACAGTTCTCCAGAAAGAAGAGTGATATGATCCACCAAAAAGAAAGGGCCTGTTATTGACCTTGATGGCTTTGGAAGTCCAGTTGCATGAGGATTCTAAGGAAAAGGGTTCCATTTAAGGTTTATTCTTTCCTCCACTTTTAAAAGTTTTTGTGGTAACATGAGTGACACACTTGGATGGGAATTTTGAAGAGGATTACTCATATAAAGAATTTTCTCAGAACTGGCTTTGCCACTCGCAGTGTGTCAGGACCTCATTCTCCCTGCCACACCACTGAGAACATACCTGCCTGCCCACCTCACAGGTGTGAGAATCTGGTGTGAGGGTGTGTGAGAAAGACTCTGGCAGAGTAGAATGCACTGTGAAAATGTCAGGTGTTGTCTGTGGCCTTGGAATGGCTAATCTGATGAGCTGTGTTCTACAGAGGAAGAGAAAGACTATGAACCAGTCTCTAGCAAAGGACAAGCACCCAGTGTGATTCTTCATCCTCACCTCTGTTTTGCCTTGAAGTCACTTCCTTGTTTATGCTCTCTCAAGCACCATTTTCAAAACATCTTTTCACTCCTGATCATCAGGTTTTTTTCTGGAACCAAATACGTTAGCAGATCCAGGCCCTGTCTTCTGAGGTCTTGGGCTTGAAGAGAACAATACAGCTAGGTATAAAAGTTATGGGCAGTGCAGCTAGCTAAGGACTTAAACATCAGCAATATTTTTTTGAAAGTACATACATGCAGTGGAGCCTAGAAACCACACATTAAGTTGTAGTGAGATGTTAGGGATACACCAACCTCAAAGCTACATCAGTGAAGAGGGGAGTGGCCCAAGTAAATGGTGAGGTGTCTGTAAAGAAAGAGAGCAGACTTGGGATGATTTAGGAATTGAGTGACACCACCATTGAATGGACTTGATGCTTAACTGCCATAACACGGGTACAGAATCCTTCCATGCGCCGCCTGGAGACTTTGAGACACTGAGTTTTAGAAGTCACTGTGCCATGAAGACAAATTTGCAGCAACAGCAAGAAAGTGATAGGGTCTGTTAAGTTTTGCAGAGGAAGAAATCCAGTCTGGAAGAGGGGAGAAGAGAGAACCTGTAACTCGTGAAAGACCACAGGTAAAGCACAAAAATCGTGGTGTGCATCACTTCAAGGGTTACTGCTTAGATCTGGCCTCAGTGGATGGTTGACCACTTGGCCACATTAACTTCTTGTGGAGCAGAATGTGTTATAAAGAAATACATTCCACCCCTTTACAGCGGCCAACACTTTTTTCTCCAGTTCATATGCTTCATTCCATTCTGCATTGATTTTGGTGGCATGTGGCTTGTGAGCAGCAGGTTAAGTTGGTTCTTGCTGTCCAGAACCTTCAGGGTGTAAGGCCTGTGATTCCAACACAGGTGAAGGGCCAGAGCCAAGGTGTCCTCTGTGAGGGCCCCAGGCAACCAGCCAGCCCCTTCTATGTTTATTTGCATTTGCAGCCACTTACAAGTTAACCATTACATCTGCTTCTCTCATAGTCCCTTCCTCACTCTACTAGACGTGAATGAATTGGTTGGAAGGCAAGCTGGTCAAGATGCCGGGCAGGGGTCAGGAGAACTCCAGTTATCATTACTGCACTGATGTTAGCTTAAGGGGCCATGTCGTATCTACCTCCAGAGCAAGTCCAAGGCCAGTCTCTAGAGCCTGATTATTCACTTCTGTCCCATGTCCAGACATGAAGACCACCACTTCTGAACCTGTGGATAAACATAAACCCTGTTGTCATGGGACAGCACATTGAACTTTGTGTTAAAATTTAACCCAACCTGTTAATTGCAGTTCTTGCAAAAGATGAGAGGCATTCCTATGAAAAACTGCTATAACATGCTCGAGATGTGTAATAGGACACATGTACTTTTCAGATTTCTGTTTATATTCCTGGAGGTGATTTTTGTTGTTTAAACTAGGTCTCCCTTCCCTGGCTTAAAAGACTTAGAAATCTAAACCTCATGGTACGACCTGAATTTCCTACTCGTATATAACAGTGCACTCCACACAGCACTGAAGTTTCCAGAAGGGTAGTGTTAGTGCTTTGGGAAATGTGAAACTGAGCTAGGAACCAGTGAGAAAGGGCGCGTAAGAATGACTGTCTTAATCAGATGCATTGTCGTCTTGCTTCCTCTCCCACAGGGTAGGTAAGCTCGCCAGCTCCTTGCTTTTTCCTGCTTCCTCTGCTGGGGCCACATTATGAAGAAAGAGTGAGTAGGTAGACAGATAAGATTCCAATGATTTGAGTCTCTTGAGTTCCTGATGAGAGAGGGCCTTTCTGGAGAGCTGGGAGCAGCATGAAGAGTCTTTTCTCACGCCCACCACATCTCAAGTATTCATAACACGACTTCCTAAGTGTGCAAGTTAGGAAAAGCACAGGGTCAAGTTCAAGCCAGATGCCTTGATTGTCCCACCTTCAGTTCTGGGGGGAAAGGAGGAGATGCCAGGGGAGCCCTGGTTTGTTATTCACTTGGTTAGGAAAGGGGGTTAGAGTCTGTTGATTTTGCCTGACTTGCCCCTTCTGGGGAGCGTGCAGACTGGACTGGTGTGACCCCGACAAGGATGTTCGCTCCATAGCGCCTGTCTGGGATGTTGTCTTACAGCCTCCTTCTCCATCAAGGGCCCTGCTCTTCTGACTCCTCCACCCTCACCTAGGATGATGAGCGTTCATGTGAGGTCTCTGGTGGCATCAATCCTGCAAGTTGAACTTCGACAATCATGGTTTGCTGGTCTCAACGGGCATCTACGTCTCAGTTATGGGTGTATGATTTAGTAGTTGAATACCCCTACTTGTCGGTTATGTTTCTACCCTTCAATTAGCTGCACTGT